TGGTATCTATTATTAAATGGCACTTGTCATTTAACTGGGTAGTACTCTGGAAGCCATCTATTAAAGAGCTCTGGTGCCGGAGATGACTGACTGGAAAGGCTGCCCAAGAATGCGATCCTTCACATCCTGCATTAAAAACACCATGAGTGGATGGCGGTGTGTTCCACTCTGCAGGTGTGAGGAAGGAGGCGGGAGCCAGGGGTCCCTCCCCTTGGGTCCTCCTCAGCCGTGTGCCCTCAGGAGCAGCACCTCCCTCCTCACCGACCGGGGAGCTTCCTCCACCAGGGAGGTCGGCAGAGACCAGATTGCAGTGGTCCCGTCCCATCTTCCTGAAGATGGCCCTTCAGCTCTCCTGTCCACCCCTGTTCACGAACCCTCTGCTCTCCACCCTGGAAGCCATCGGCTTGTCCTTTGCCCCAGGGCTGCTGGTGGACACCATCGGTTCATCTTCAAGGCCCATTTCTTCCTCTCTCTATCGCTATCTTCCTTTTAGGCAAAGTCTTGCTACGAAGTACAGGCTGGCCTTGACCTTGCTTATGCAGCCCAGGCTGGCCTCAAGTGCACGACAATCCTCCTGCCTCAGCCTCTCGTACAGTGGGATTAGGACAATCCTCCTGCCTCAGCCTCCCGTGCAGTGGGATTACAGTCGTGTGACACCACACAGGGCTCTTCCAATTCCTAGTGTGAGGATGTTTCTGTGTATTTCCCCACGGGCTGTGCTTACTGAGAAATGCCCATGCTTACACATTTTCCACCGGACACCACATAAAGACACACCGCACCTGCTGCTGCGTCTCCTCCTCCCGTGCATTTCTGTACCCTCCACAGCATCGGTGTCTGTCGGACCTGTGTCAGAGCCAGCCCTTCCCTTCCATTGCAAGGCCACACATTCAGCCACGGACAGTGCAATCGGCCCCCGATCCAGCCTCCCTCCTGCCTTAGCCCCAAATGGCCTGCACCCAGCTCGGAGTCGCTTGGTGCCTTCTGCCACAGGCCGTGTGTTTCGAGACCCCCTAGCTTTGGGAACAACCCCACCCCACCCCCGGCCACTTCTCCCCTCTCTTTTTAGTCAGAGAATACTGAAGCCCTGCCTTAAATCTCCCAAAGAAAATACATTTTTGGCTGCCACTAGGAAATCATTTTTCAGCAGGAATAACACAGCCCTCCATCACTTCAGTTTTTTGTCTATTTTTAAAGCAATAGCTTAAGCAGCAGTAGGTTGTTTGGAGGCAGCCAGGAAAATAAGCACTGGCCCCTGCACTCAAGAAGTAAAAAGGAGCCAGCAGAGGTCCAGTGGCAGCAGCTCAGCTCTCCACGGCCGGAGCTGTCCTTCCCATCTGTTTCCATGGGACCTTGTGTGGGTGGGGAGGGTTTCCAAAAGCACTGGATTATGTTGTTTAGAAAAATAAAGAACTGAAGTTCGGAGGACCGGAGAAAGAGAGTGTAAGAATCTTGATGCCTGATATTTTCAGAAACCAAATCCAAAGCCAGTTTCCAAAGCCCCAAGTGCTCTTTAATTGGCATTAGAAAAAACTGGAATAGGGTGTAGCTTTGGGAGGTGCAGACATTCTCCGACCAACCCACCACCTAGACTGCGGTGTCACATTTTAGGGGCGCTCCAGTAGGTTCTGAGTGGTCCTGTGGCTCAGAGAGCCAGCGGGCTTCTCGTCACCATCCACGCTGTCCGGAACTCTGTGTGGAGACTGGGACTGAAATGCACCAAAAGCAAATCACTGGGGGCTAAAACTGAGCACAGCAGGTCAGAGCCCCCATGGCCCTCGCCTGGACAGGAGCCGTTCTGACGGGCTTCAACTAGCTGGGGAAGAAATCAGAGCGTACGGTATGGTGGGACCTGTTAGCTGGTTGTCAACACACTGTGAAATTTTTCTTCGCTAGTCCTAAAATACTGACACCTTGTAGGAGGCACTTGTATTTTCACGATAGCATCTTCGAGTTGGGATTCACCTCTAGTAGGGCGCTGTCGAGAGCAGAGTGACAGGTAGTGTGGAGAAGACTGTGTTGAATTTTCCAAATTCACACCACAGGTACCCGATCAAGTCCACCAGGCAGTAAACAAATGCTAGACATTTGGCTGCCAGCGAAGCTCACAAAACCACCGGCCCTTGCAGAGCTTACAGATTCTAGAAACAGTAATAGAACTCATCAGCATGTCAAGTAAACTAGTTAACAAATGCAGGGTTCCGTTTTTCAATAATACTGTGAAAAAAATCAAGGCCCCTACTGTGGTAGGCACAAAGAGCCTAAGCTAAGGAAATCTACCGCCAGGTTGTCCCCCGCCCTCCCTGTGAGGTGCTTTTCCTTGGGGGGACCAGCGCTAAGAGCAGATCTGATTGCCTCTCACCACAGGGCGACCTCCACCCCTCTGTGGCCATTTCTTTAACGGGATCTGTTTCCTCATCAACCAAACAAGGCTACTGACAGAGACCTGGAGATGTTTGGTTGAAATTACATGTAAGAAAGCACCCGCCGTGCATAGCCTGTGTAAGAAATTCAGTTTTTAATCACCCCAAAGACATTCCTGTTGAGCTGCCCTTAGATCCACGCGTCCGGTGCCCCTCCGCCTGCGCTCTCCCCTTCCTCCAGTTGAAGGTTAGGCGGTGCCTCCCCCGTAGCCTTCCTCCCCTCCACAGGAGGACAAACGTCCCCTCTGCCACCCCTGGACTTCCTCCCTCCCCAGACTGTGAACTCGGATCAACTGGGGTGGAGACGGCCCAGGGCTCCGGCTTGGGTCTCAGCCCCGCACCCGTCCATGCTGGAGCTGTGCACGTGCCTTGGCCTTGCTTTGCCCCCTTGCTCCCCCCTGAGGAGGGAGATGGGCAATATGGCCTCTCCCTACCCCAAGTAGACACTTAGGAAGCTCACCAGTGATCACCACAGTCAGCAACTCCAATTCCAGAACTCTCTCTCCATGACAGCTGGTGGAAAGCCACAGCACTGCAAGGTCCCTGTGTGTCAGGTCCCCCACTGTGCTATTGAGGGTGAACCCAGGACCTTTGCACTGATCATCCCCCGTACTTTTTTTTTAGTTTGAAACAGAGTCTTGCTACATTGCCGAAGCAGGGTTCAAACTTGTTGTGATCCTCCTGCCTCAGCCTCCCAAGTGCTGAGATTATAGGTGCGCACAACCATGCCTGGTCCCCAAGTATCCTTTACACTACCGAATATATTGAACATTTCCAAAGTGACCTTCCCTACATTATATACTTCACTACATTTTGCATCTTTGAAGATTGGTGATTTGTGTATAGATGATATGCGGCTGGCCCTGGATTTCTCAGCAGGATCTTCAGGGGTCTCTGAAACGACCTGCCCAGGTTTACCTCCTCCATTCGCTCCTTATCCCTTTCTGCTCCTGTCTGACTCAGGGAATGCAGGCACACAGGGACAGTCAGCTTTCCCAGGACCTGCTGCCACAGCAGTGTCATGAGCCCTGCCAGACCCCCCGTCCTCACAGCCCTTCCCACCCCGCTGTCCTTCGGTACCGTCCCCTCTGCCAGGAGAGCAGAGCCTGGACAGGAAAAGGCTGTAACTTTCCTCTTCACCCCCACTTTCCGAGCACCTCTCCACCGTCCAGGCTGGCCCGGCCCCTGCCTGCTTGGAAGAAGCCTTCTCTCCGCCTCCTCTGTGAGGAGCTGGGAAGCCCATGGAGCTTTCTGTCCCTCGCTCTGGCTGTTAGGATTATGCATGGTTACACCTGGGCACACACTGGGTCCCCCCCTCCTGGAAGCTCTGGAGCCGAGGGAAGCCCCTTGCTGAGGTCTCCGAGCACTGACCCACCCAACACAGCTGCACACACGCAGGACAGATGTGGGGCAGCCCATCCAGCCTGCCTGGAAAGGGGCGGTGTCACCCTGAGTCTCATCATCCAGACATTCTTCAAGGCGCTATTTTTACCTCAGTAATCATTAAATTGGTGTCAGATGGGCTGGTCCAGTCCCTCCTGCCCAGGCTGGGGGTTGGGGGAAGATGAGACTCAGCAGGACTTTTTTCCAGGCAAGAGAGGTTTGTGTCACCCTTGCAAATGAGTCTCTGGTACCCAAGTCCTCTCGCTGAGCCTCATCCCCTGCCCCAGCCTGTGTTCCCGTGCTGACCCTAGCAGGGTCATCCTCACACACACCTCATTCCTGACAAAGGCCGCGTGCCATCTCAATGCCAGGCATTCAACAGGACGCCAGGGCGTCACGGAAAAAATATTTCCACCCCTTAAAAACTTCACATTGCAATGAGAAAGTATGGTTGGGTCATGCATATGGAGCATGGTGGGGGCAGAAATGTTCCACTTGGGTTTCTGGGAAAGATAAGGGGACCATTGGGTGGAAACTTGGCCCCTGGGCAGGAGCACATTAAAGACTGTCCATCTGCTCAAACCCAGCTATGAATTCAGCTCTAAGAGACAGGAGCTCGGGGGTCCCCTGATCACGGCTTTGTGGATGAGACCCTCCAGCCAGAATGGGATCAGCACCCCTCACCAGCCGCAGGAAGCAGGCATGCATCACTGGATGGAAACCAAGAGCTGGCTTTTCTAGATGCGGTGTCTTTCAGTCTGGTTCATAACCCTGTGATTAAACGCCTGCAAATTCAGGGTGAGACTGAACAGAAAATCAGAACGGGGCATGGCGGGAAGACGGGAAAGATGTGGCACCAAATGCTGGCCGAAAGTGCATTTGCAAATGTTCTGGGCAGACCACGCAGGGCCCTGGATTTCATTTCCTCCCCCAGAAATTCCGAACCCCACCCCCTACCAGTCACATGGACCGCGCGCAGGCACAGCCTCGAGGGGCGCAGCGTGGCGCTGGAGAGGGCTTCTGGCTGCCGGACTGCTTGTCGGCCAGGAGGAAGAGCCTAGGGCCACCTGTCTGGTCACAGCCTCAGTGCTGTGGGCCTCTCGGAGCCAGGCAGGCTCTGCGGTCTCACTAAAGTGACAATGAAATTAATAGGATCCTGACGTGACTGAGGCTGTGTTTTTGTCTCTCAAACAGGGACGAGAGAGGAAATGTCCTTAGGACGCCAGGAGGCTTTTGAAATCTTCAAGAGAGACCACGCTGACAGCGTCACCATTGATGACAACAAACAGATTCTGAAACAGAGGTAAGGCTGCCCAGAGAGCAGGGGGCCTCCACGAGGGAAAGGTGCCTTCCGTGCCTCCCGCCCTGCCCGGCCTCCCTCTGTGAGGAAGGCTCAAGTTCCTTCAGCTTCGTGCCGATCGGGTCCCATGTGACAAGATTCCCTTCCATGGGTCCCCATACTGTCAGGGCAAGGAGTTTGAGGACAGGGTCAATGACCGATGGTATTAATCTGAACACGGTTCTCATATTACATCTCTCTGTGGCCTGGGACACTTTGGATGCCATCCTGTTCCAAAGGCGGGGAACCAGACCTATGGCCTGGATTGCCTGTGACCCAGAGTCCTCTAGTGAGTTCTGCAGGCTGATGTCAGGGCAGGCAAGATTGTCTGCTGGTCCAACAAGCCAGGGTCCAAGACCCCTTTGGAGAATGCTGCATTTGTCACAGCCTGCACGTGGATTCAGCAGACACGGCAGACAGGACGGCCAGGTGCGCGGCCCAGAGCCCGAGGAAGAGTCCTGACTATCCCAGGGATCTGTGACAGGTCACCAGCAGCTCTAGAGCTTAGCGCACGGAACATCCCCAGAACTGACTTGCTGAATCTAGCGAGATCCAGGCTGACAGATAATGTGTGCGTGTAAACCACACCCCAAGGCAGCTGAGAAGCAGGCGAGCCGGTGAGGAGCTCCGGAAAGGAGGCCCGAGGAGAAGCAGAGAAGGCAAAGACTGGGGAGAGTGAGGTCCTGAAGGCCAGGGGGACGGCCAAGTCCCAGTCCCAGTAAGTTTCCTCCTCCCTGCGGACAAAACACCGACACCCACCGAGTAAAGGAAGAGGGGTTTATTTGGCCTGCATTTCTTTTTTCTTGTTGTTGTTGTTTTTTTTTTTTACTTTTTCATTTTAAAGAGAAAAAAACACAGAGAAGAAAAACAGACATACAAACAATTACAAGAACAACAAAAACCCCAAAACAATAACAATACAGGCTTTCAAAACAAGACAAAAAGAAATTCACAATGGTTGTAATATTGCATATTATTACCTTCAGAAGAGTTGCTTAGATTACAGATAGAGACAGGCAAAGTTGATCTAATCATGGGTGTTAACTGTTCTTTTCCAAGAATAAACTAGTAGTATAATCATCTGAGCTATTTTATGTACATATAAAAACAAACTTACACGTTTTTCCTTTTCACATTTCCCCACCTATTATTTTTCCCCTTGGAGAAGTTTCTTACCCTTTAGAGTAGATTTTGGATAAATCAGACTCATGTGTAAATAACATATTGTCTCCCTAGTGTAAGGGACTGAAAGAGTAAACAGCCCCCATATCTTTTTTTTTTTTTTTTTTTTTTTTTTTTTTTTGTATCTGAGATCAAACTCACCACTAGGTGCTTGCCAGGCAGGTGCTTACACCGCTGAGCTAAACCCCCAGGCCAATGGCCTGTGTTTCTGAAGCCACAAGCATTGCACAGTTATGGCAAACTCAGCGCCTGGGCGCAGAAAGCTGCCCACGTAGTGGCAGGCAGGAGCCAGGCAGGGATACGCCCTCCCAGGCCACGCCCACAGAGCCCAGGCCCCGCCTCCTGGGCCCGGCAGCTGTGGCCTGCATTGTCCAATCACCTCTCAGCACCGGGGCTGTTGGGGGTGTTACTGCCCTAAACCACAGCAGATGGCTGCAGGAAGCCGCACAAAGAAATAAGCAGGAGGAAGTGGCTGGGCACGGAGATTTGGCGCCAGGTGACATGAAGGAGCAAAGAGACGGAGCCGAGGCAGCAGAGAAAATGAGAAACGGCGTGTTCTTGGGGTGCGCTCAGAGGTGGAGCCCTGCGTTGGACCCTCACCACCATCACAAGAAAAGGGTTTGAAAACTTTGAACCAGGAAAAACTTTCTCAAAAGAGGAAAAAACATCGATTTAAGAAGAAATGAAGTGAGTTTCAGAATGGAGAAGAATTGGGCAGGATTGTAGACCAAGAAGGAATCAAGTGACGAGAGAGGGAGAGAGCCGAAGGGGAGACTGAGCCAGCCAGGCATCCGGGACACGGGGCGCAGGGGACCTGGAGTCCAGGCTCACGCTGGCTGGAAGCACAAACGGAGCACAGACCTAGGCCGGGCTGATCCTCTGAGATGAGGAGGGGCCGAGTGGACGACGGCCTCTCCCTTCTCTCCTGTGGGAGAAGCAATCACGGTGTCAGCTGAAGGGGAGACAGGCAGCGCTGGGGTCCGGGGCCCCCAGACTCTCAGAGTGGCTCTCACACTGGGGCAGGGGGGTCCTGCCCTTCTCAGTCAAAAGAGGGACATGCACCCCCAGGACCCCCGTCAGTGCCTCTTTAGGGTCTGTTCCCCAAGCCAGCCCCACCTGAGGGTGCTCACGCAGCGATGTTTGTGGCCAGGAACAGCAAGACGCTCTCCAGGTGCCCTGAAGGAGAAGCCCTGGACACAGGAGGACAGGGCAGGAGGAGCCATGGAGCCCACGTTTACAAGCACAGAGCCCAGAATCCCAGCACCGCAGAGGGCGCACTTTCTGCAAATTCCCAACAAGAAGACCCTTAACTCTGAGGACTCGGCCAGGCAGGAAGGGACACAAGAGCAAAGGAACTGAAAGGAGGCTGGGGTGGAGAAAAGGAAGCTGGTAAACGCTGAGCCTGTCCCCACAGGGGGACACTCGCTCATCTGACAGACTTCCCGGGGTCCCTCCCTGTTGCTGCCATGTATTGTGACACAGCCAGCAGGATGTGTCAGCAGAATGTCTGTCCTGCATGTGTGTCTGAAGACGAGCATAGGTGACAGCTGTCACAGCCAACAGGATTTACCGTGGCCCTCAGCCCTGTCCATGCAAGAGGATTTTTAGCTCACATAGACGGCTGAGCCCAGCTTTGTAAAACATGGATCCCAGTATCAGTCAGATTAGAAAACCACCGGCCTGAGCCAGGTGTGACCGTGTGATCTGAGCCTTTGGGAGGCTGAGGAAGGAGGGTGTGGCAAGCTCAAGGCCAGCCTGGCCTCATAGCGAGACCCTGCCTCACAAGAAAACTGCAGGCTGTGACGGTGTCCAGAGATCTCAAAATCCAGAACCACTGGGGTGAGATCCCCAGAATTCTACCCTTTTAAAAATATCACCAACGGATTCTTTTGTCCTCTCCACTATGAGAACTCCTGCTCAGGGAGAACGTGATACCGTGTCTTCCTTACTGTAAAACTGGCCTGGTTCCTGCTTCTGTCCATCCTGGAGCTCAGGTCCATTTCCAGTGGAGAATAGGCCTCCTAAAGATTTCTCATCACCACCAGGCCACCCTCCCTGTAGCTCAGGAGAGTCTGGCAGCCCACGAGACACGTGTGCTTTGGGTTTAAGGGTATCTGGGTCACACAGGATGGGCTATGGTTCTGGGGAGCGCATCTTCCTCTTCATGACCATCGGGCAAGAGCATTAATGACATTCGCACAGAGTTTTCTCCTGAAAAGAGGTTTTCCCAGCTGTAAATCAGACTTTTTATGTCAAACAAGAAGCCAGGAAACAAGCCCACATGTCTACAGATTTCTACATCTGTTTAATGTTCCTGGAATACCCATCATTCAAGCACTGTTGTGCACCCAGGAAGGACAGGATGGACCCCAGAACCAACCCTTTACCCTGGCTTGGTGCGTTTGTTTGCAGGCGTGGTGATTATTCAGTTATTAGACGTTAGAGATGCACAGACGCTTACAGCAGTACTAAGGGAAAGTGTCTCCTACAAAGACACCTGCAGGATCCGTGTCCCAGCAGCACACACGAAAGCAGCCCAGGTGCTCATGGGGTCACCCCGCGGTGCCCTTCCTCAGGATTTTCACCCAGCGAGATCCCCTCCCACAGGCTTGCTCCAGTCCCCCCAGTGGCAGGGAGGGCCCTGTGGACGTCTATAGGAGGACCACGGGGTCACACTCAGCATGGCTTTCGGTCACTGTTTGTTTCTCCTCTGCTGGAAGCGTTGCCCTGCTGGGCGTCCAGGACCCACCAGCCAATGGTGACACCATGATGGCAAAGTGCACCAATTACCCCTTGACAAAGCTTCTCTAGCTCCTAGCAAGTGGGTTCTACTCCCTAAGGTAGGGGTGATCAGCCACCCTGAACCTCCCTTGATTCTTCCTCATCTTCCTCCTCCTCCTCCTCCTCCTCCCCTTCCTCCTCCTCCTCCTCCTCCTCTTCTCCTTCTCCTTCTCCTTCTCCTTCTCCTTCTCCTTCTCCTTCTCCTTCTTTTTGCTTTTTGAGACAGGGTTTCCCTATGTAGTTCAGGCCAGCCTTGAGCTCACTTTATAGCCCAGGGATGTTTGCCCTTCAATGACCTCAGCAGGCCGGGAGCCCACTCCTAGGCAGGACTCTGCAGGAGAGGACAATCACAGCTCACAGTGCCTACATTTTCCAGCCTCATCCACATGGCCTATAATAATATCAAGAGAGGCTGGTGCCTCCACACTCGGCAAACATCAGGCCCAGGCAGTGCACAGCGGAATTTCTTTTGTTCAGACCCTTTGCACAAACCGAATCCATCAGACACAGAGTCCCATTAAATAACAAAAGAAGAAATGAATGGGGAGATTAACTGCAATTGGAAATAACGGCCTTGATAACATGCACAAAATCAAGACAGGCAGCGACCCTCACTCAGGCGCTTCCCACACAGAACACAGCAGCCCCAAACAACAGGAAGCCTAGAGGCGGGGCAGGGAGAGCCTGGGCACCATCTGGAAATCACACCCCTGGCCACAGGAGCTCCCGGTGCCGGTGCCGTGAGGCCTCAATTTCAGCTTTTACTGCTTTTCCCTTATTTTTACACCTTGTCTGCTGGACTAGAATTATAAACTCAGTGAGTAGAGATTAAATTAGAATCTGCTCAGCCTCCCCACCATGTTAAAAACCACACTGGATGCCAAAATGGTAGGCAGATTGTTTGAGAATGATAATTTGAGATTGACTTTGAGGAATGTTAGCAGCCAAGAAAACTGCCTGGGCAAACTTAAAGCTTCCTAGAAGCAGTGGGCTGGGGAGGAGCTGCCCGTGGGAGCCGTGAGAGGGCGGCCATCTTGGAGGGGACAAAGCCCAAAGGGATTGTGGGTATTAAAAAAGTGCAAGAGGAACAAAGGACGGATGCCTCTCACAGGAAAGTGGAGGCAACCAAGGAAATAACAGAATCAGGCCACCCTTCTGTGTCCCTCTCCAATGCAGAAAAATGGTCACCTACAGAGAATCAACATAGCTTTTTTGTGATTGTTTCATTTTGCTTTTTCCCTCTTTAAAATAAAATTTACAAAAGAGAGAAGAATCAACATATCAAATTACTCCAGACCAGAAGACTAGAACAGACACCGCAGAAGCCCCTTGCCTTGGAATAACACTGACCCAGTCCACTGACCTAAAGAAACACTTTCCTCTGGCATGACAGGGACCGTGAGCACAGGGGCGCTGGGGACCCCGTGACTGAGGGCCAGCAGCAGGTCTGCTAGGCCCCTGCCGAGCGCAGCCGCTGCCCTGTTCCTGTGAACAGTGTGTGGCTCTGACTGCCCTGGACAGAGTGCCATGTCCTGGCCCTCAGCTGCTGGCCCAGGGATGCCCAGCACACCACAAGAGCAGGAAGAGATCTTCCCAGGAGCTTCTCTCACCAGTTTCACATGACAGTGCCGTCACCCATGGCCAGCTCACAGCCCTGTCACCCTCACCAGGTTCCCACAGGTTGGCAGTGGTCAGTGTTCACACACAGTGTGTGTGCACACATGTGCTTTCCACAGCAGCCCGGCTCATCCTAATCTTGGAAACAAGGAGCCTGAGCCCAGCTGCTAAGGGTACAGAGTGGCGCAGGGTCCCGGGCCTGGGTATCCTACCTGATGGCATTCTACAAATGTTAGGGGACTGTTTCTTCAGAGCGAGCAGGGGTCCTGTGCTCCACAGAGGTAAGGGTGAACTGCGCACACACAAGGCTGAGAGTGAATCAAGGGAGTCATCAAGCACCTCCCACACTGCACACCCCTGCCCGTGAAGGGAGGGCAAAGTGTCGTTGTGCAGTGGGCGTATCACCCTCTGACTTGGTCAGTCCAGGAGAGCTACGCAGAGACAGCAACACCCAGCGGAAACCCGGTTTCCATAAGTGGAAACGGGCTGGGCAGAAAGAGGCTCCAGGGGAAAGCAAGGACTCCAGATGACAGAAGGTGACACTTGATGGAACTGAAAGTGGGGCAGGCCAGCCCGGAAGGGTGGGGGAAAGGGAAGAGCTGGAAGGCACACCAGCCAGAGCACGAGGGGATGGAGAGTCTGTGTCACCCTAAGGAGGGGCCTGGACCCCGTGCTGAGGTCACAGGGAGCTCTTGTGGCACCCCAGGCAGGAGAGGAACATGACAGGGCCTTGGCACTGAGGCATGGGCTGCAGACAGGGAGTGGGTGAGGGAGCGAAGCCAGGTCTACCCGCTCTGGGGAGTCTTGAGGATGCAGAATGGCCGCCGGGATCCTGGGGCTCTGTGAAGGGCCGCAGGAGGATCGCAGGGGTCAGAGACTGAGACTGTCAGTCGTTTGCAGACAGCGTGCATCTTAGTTCTCTGTGGGGCACATGGCAGGAGGTGTGCATGGGTCAGGGGCCGAGGCGGGCTGAGATGGAGCTGCAGAGTGTGTGGGTGACAGTGGGGAAGACACTGGCAGCCCAGGATGCCCAGAGAGAGCCAGGGCCCAGGCTCCAGCATACACAGAGCAGGCTCCGGAAGACGTCTGCAGAGGAGGCTGAGGAGGAGCTGTCCGAGAGAGCCAGTGTCCCAGAGGTGGTGACAGTGTTTGCCCAGCGTCACCAGGGCTGATTAAAGGCAGCCTGGTCCTGTGTCCTCCTCCTTGCCCAGGCCAGCTCTTGTCCTCACCCAGAGATCTCTCTGCCATTGGTGCTGGACTGCACCCAGCTACACCACACCCTTCAGGCGAACCCCAGGGCCAGCCTACAGGGAGACTCGGGCTGGCCACATGGATGCACAGAGATGCAGTGGACTGATGGGACTGTAGGGGTCACCTTCAACCCACCCCTCCCCTGGCCTTCTCCTCTTCCTCCTGCCTCCCCGTCTCTCTCTACACTTTCCCTTTCCCCGCTCTTCCTTCAAGGCTGGGCCTCTGGAGTTTGTCTGGATGACCAAGAATCAGGGCCACATGTGGGTGGGGTGTCCTGGAGCGGTGAAAACTTGCAGAGTGAAGGGAAAGCTCTCAGGGAGATGACACAGCCCTGGACCACGCCTCTCCTTTACAGCTCTGGCTGGCAGCCTGCAGAGAGGGCGGGGAGCAGCTGGTGACTCTCCACGGTTTCTGCCAGCTGTGGAGAAGGGCACTGACCACAGCACCATGGTCCCGGACATCTGGACGCTGCCAGGCCTGAAAATGCCAGCCCTGGCCCACTGGGGTGTCTCCGGGCAGCTCCAGGGTGGAAATGACCCCTTCTGATACCCAGAACTGGCACGCATTTCATTTTTACAGTCTTGCTCTTACGTTTTCCATATTCCAAAGACTAAAACTACCATTAGATTCATTCGCTGAGCAAGGCGGGACTGTCAAATTCTGCGAAATCCTGGGACAGACGGCAGCCTCCTTTGGAAATAAGATTGTCAGACTCTCGATGGTCTGCACCAAACCAGAGCCCAGCACAGTGACCATTACTTCCTGGGACCATTCAGTGAATGGAATTTGCAGCACAGGGAACCCCACTTCTCTCCCGAAGGTGACAGGCCCCAACCAAAGAGAAGACATACACAGCCCACAGGAAGCCCCAACTGGATGCCCTTTGGGAGAACCCAGGGCGGAGTTCCCAGAAACCTGACACAGAGAGAAAACTCAGTCCTGTCTCAGGAAACTCCCTGTCTGCAGTCCCAGTCAAGCAGACAGACCTGGAAAACAGCAGTGACATAATTCACACTTCTTTCCACCGTGCACGGTGCAGCGTGGTGGCCCGGCCACTGCTTAAGTTGTCCCCTCCTGCTTCCCGCTACACAGGCCAGGGCAGCCGGAGCAGCACTCACGGATGAAGCTGTATGATGCCTGGGATCCAAGGGATCCAGCAAGATTTGGGAGAGAGGGAAGCAGGAAGGCGACTGAAGTCAAGTCGGACAATTAGTGCAATGTGGTGACAGGCACGTGAGGGTTTACCCTCCTGTTCCATGTTGTGTTTGTTTGGAAAAGTTTCCTAAAAACTCCTATGTATCTGCAAGACCCAGATGAAGCTCATCTTGTACGTAAAGCTTTTCCTGACTATACCCTGCTCGTAGACAGGCCCCTTCCCGGTCACACGCTAATGGCAGCATGACTACTGAGACCCAGAACACCACAATGATTCACTGTCACAGTGTGTTATGGCGTTCATCCATGTGTATTACGTATCAGGCAGCATGTTACCATCACCACCTGGCACAGTTTGTAGACTTTCAACGGCTGCTTTAACTTTGCAACAGAAAGGAGAGAGAGGAACGCAACTCACATCTGGTAAGGACCCTCTGTGTGTTTCTGATACCCAACTCCAAAGTGCTATGCTAAGGTGCTTTTCCTCCGAGCGCCTCACTCATTTATGTGAGAAAACACAGGGAAGGAAAGAGCGGCACAACCAGCTTGAGGGCTCGTGTGCGTCCATCAAAGGCTTTCAGGTGACACGGGGAAGGACTTACAATGCCAAGGAAAACCAAACAAATGAGGACACGAGATTCCACGTGTAGCACCATCTCACTCTGTAAAAAACGTGCTGGAAGAAGAGGCTGGGTGGACGTGTTTCTCGAGGCGTGCTGTTTCCGGGGAGGGGATTATTAGAAATTGATTTTCTTAAATTCCATATTCAAAATCTGATTCAATGATTATATGTAACAGAAGTCAGGAAGCTTTTCCTAGAAAAAGGCCAGGGGGGTGTTCTTGGTTTCGTAGGCCACCGTGTCTCTTTGACATCCACGCAAATCAGGCCTGACACAAAGCAGCCTTAGAAGGTGAGGACCTGAGTGGACATGGCCGCGTGCCAATGAAGCTTTATTTACAGGACAGGGATCGGGCTGGGTTTACCTGTGATCATAGCTTACCAGCCTCTGGTATGCAACTTAGTAATTAGGGAAGAATCGTGTGGCTTTTGGCTGTGAGACCTTGGTTCTGTGGATGGCCAGTCACTCACAGAAACCTTACCTGCTTGCCCCATCCTGCTACCCTTGCAGGACAAAATGACAGAAACCAAAAATCACAAATTAGAGCATCGGCACATGAACAGCCTGTGCCGGAATGGCTAAAGTCCCACTCTATGAATTTTCTCTCTAAGCCTAATACGTCTTTAAATAAAGTTTGATACTATTTGGAAGACCTCTGTTTTTAGAACCTGATACTCAGTGAACAGAAAAAGGAACTTTTTCTTTGTCCCCCCACCTCTTCTCTTTTCCAGATTTTCTGAAGCAAAATCCCTGGGAGAAAGTATAAATGAAGCAAGAAGGAAAATCGGTAAGCCAAGGCCGTCCAGCTTTCCGGGCGACAGAGCGTGGCGTGCCTGCAAAATAGTCCCGAGGCCTGTGTCCCCGAGGGTCCCTGCCAAGGCAGCGGCTTTGAGAGCGCCTTCCCACCACCTGTCAGGAAAAGCGCTTTCTCTTGTCCGGAACTCCGGTCTTCCATCCTCTTTGTGCAGGCCTGGGTCCTAGCAACCCCAAGAGAAGCCCCGCTTTCCCTGATGCTCCTCACAGCACTCCAAGGTGACCTTGTTCATCTTTGCCACAGCCGCAAAGCACCTTCACAGCCCCCAAAGCTCACGCTTCGTGCCTTTTCACACCGGGGTGCTCTTTTAGAGCATTCATAAAGCCCCTGGGAGAATGAGGAGCAGACATGAGTTGGGGTGTCTTGCAGGGCGGAGGAGGCTGGCAGGCAGGACCCCCTCCCAGGGCTGCAGCCCTGGAAAGACCAGGCTGAGACGAGAGACCAATTCATTGCATGCGTCTCAGACCTGGTCAATTGACAGAGGCACATTGGAGACCCATGTCCCGGGCTCAGGGCAGCTTCAAGGAGGGGATCCCTGTTCTGTCGCCTCTGCCCTCAGGAAGCTGCTTGTACCCACCCCACCACCCCACCCTACAAATGAGGGCAGGTCAAATGAGAAGTGGCTGTGACAGTGCCCTCTGACTTCTCTGTACAGAATCAGGACAGTCTCAGAGCACCCAGGCCCAGGAAACGGGAACCCCCTACCCAAGCCACACCTAGCAACCACAAAGGACCCTGCTTCTTGGGGATCCTCTCCCTAAGGCCCAGGATCTTGGATGAAATAGCCTAGATCTAGGGATCTAGAGACCTAGATCAGCGGTGGCAAACCTACGGCATGTGTGCCGCAGAGGGCTGTTTGTACCACGGAAAGCTCTGAAAGGGTCGCGGTCACTGCCCTGGAGTTTCAGGGGCCTCTAGCTGAAAGTCAGTGCTGCTTGGTGATGGATGTGAGCAGCACTGGCGGTGCCCGCCCCCAGGGGACGCCACGCATTTTCGCGATGCGCTGCAATGTGGCAGTCTTCGTAAAATATCCTTATGCTGATCGTTGCTTCAGAGTTACCATAGTTAGACTCGCCAATGGGTCCTGTTATTTAATGCATTTATAGAAAAGTCCATAGATGTTTCTATCAGAAAGTTTGTAAATTTTGATAACTATTTCATTATAATTGATCTGTCTTAAAAATCTGCAGTTTATTTTGTCATCATCATTTATTATGACATTATTCTGAGGAAGGGCCCATAGCTTCTTCAGGCTTCTAAAAGATCCCTGGACCGAAAACAACCAAAAGGTTGGAATCCGCTTCTTGGCCTGATTCCCAAAGTCTCTAAAATTGCGTGTGAAATACTGGGGGGCGAGCTGGGGATGAAGCTCAGCGGCATGGCGCCTGCCTGGCAAGCACGAAGTCCTGAGTTTGATTCCCAGTACCAACAAAATAAAAAAGCCAAGGGTGAGAAGATTGCATGTGTTCCTGGAGGAAATACGCACAGCCTCTCCAGTTCTCAAAGGGTGGTGACCCCACCAGGAAGGACGTGATTCTAGCCCGATGCCCCTCCACCGGCCAGGGCTTCAGGCAGGAAACAGACACTCAGCCCCTGGGCAGCAGCACAGTGACGTCCTACCTGGCAGGGGCCTCCTGGCAGGAAGAGGAAGAGGAGGGGAAGGGGAGCAGACCGCAGCGATACAGGCCCATTGGTCAGTGTTGTTTGACTCTTTGGAGAAACAAAAAAGAAAGACCTTTTATAAACTTTTATAAAATTCATGCTTTTATGAATAGCATGAAGATTTGCTCCTCGTTAAACCAAAATAAAGCTGTCCCATCACCAGCGAAATAGACCAACGGCAGGAGGCACCCGTCATTCCCTGCACCAGTGGTGATGAACCTTTTAGAGCTTTGACGATAACAGCCACTGGGGCACTCGTGCCACAGGGTCGCCACCTCTGCCCTCTGCCAGTGCTCAGTCTTTTCGCTCTGTCCAGCGATTGTTGCCAGGGATGACAAATCCTCTATAATTCAGTGCAGTAACATTCAAATGGATCCGACTTGACACATTCTCAAGGTTGGGCAAGCGAGAAGTTATGTCCAGGAGCCAGGCGCCCTCAAGGGCGAGGGGACTCTACACAGCCTGTCCAGGAAGGATTTTGCATGTTTTCTGCACACAAAAGCTCCACATATGTGAGCAGAAGCATGGGGCAAATAGACCTTGGTTTCACAGAAAATAACAGAGTTCCCACCAACATGGAGATCCAAGCATCTGTTGCTACTAGGCAAATGGTGAGTTCAGGGCTACTACTAAGGCCAACGCACTTTCACGGCGGTGTACGCAGACTGTAGGCTCCAGCTCATCTCTAGACCTCCACCCTTCAGGTCTATTGAGACCCAGCCAAAGGCTGACAAGCCCTGTGTGGTACTTTGCTTTTTAGGCTTGTGTCTAGAGGTCCCCCTAAAGTCTCATGTGGTCACAGCCTCTCAAACAGCAGGCCAAGACAAAGGAAGGGTAAGGGGGGATCTGCACACGCAGGCAAACTTCCCAACGGGACCTAGCAGGAAACTGGCCTCGGGAAATTCACAGGAGTCAGTCTGAGGGGGAAATCAGGTCCAGTGGAACCAGCCTTCAGTCCGTGAGGAGTTCGTGGGTGAACTGCGGGACAGGAGCACAGCACAGATGGACCAGGACAGGCCCGGGGCGGTGACTCAGGGCCACTCCCGGCCACACCACATCCTGCCGCTGGACCTTCATGCAGGCTTTCCATGCCGGGCAGCGCTCTGGGGATCAGCCTGCAGGGTGGACACCAGAGCTGCGTCGGTGAACCGCAGCTCACCAAGCCACACTGCCTCTGTCTCCGCCGGCAGCTTGGTTTTCTCTGGCATTGTGGCCGGGAGCTGCCTCTTGAAAACCCCCCATGGCTCTCACTTCAGCTGTGACCACGTAACATCTCTCTTCCCCGTGGTGTAACCAGTCAGCCGTAGCTTCCATGCAGCTTCCTTTACTTTTAAGACGCCAGCCTGGCGAGGTGGATAAACTGTCCCCATAAAACTCCTCTTTGTCCTTCCCCGTACACCATCTGTGTCGGTCATGATGTCCAACACGCAGAAGCCAGAAACGGAAGAAGGAGTCAATTTAGAGTCGCTCTGAAAAATAACAGCGTCCTTGTCTGTGTAGGAGGGCCACCCTTCCATACTGAAGAGCAGCAGGCTGCTGTGTGTCCCATGGGCTATGTGTACCCGTCCCTGGACACCCCATGCCCACCCATTTGGTCTCTTAAGATGCACCCAGCTCACACTATGGACCGTTGTAGAGGCCCTGGCGCCCAGCAGGCATGTTTCCCTGATTAGAATTCGGGCATCAGTCTCCCTACGTCATGGTCCCCCACCAGCTGCATTGTCTTTACAGTGGATGGCTGTTCCTTGGCGCCAGGCCCCTGCCCAAGCCAGGCTGAGAGCCAGCTGCTTTGGTGGCAGGTGAAAGAGCTGGGCAGACACCCCTGGCGCCTCTTCACCCCTTCCTGGCCCCTCCAGGCCCTCGTGAAGACTGACCTCACCTCGGGCCCTATGGGAGGGGTTCGCTTGGGAGCCACTCAGTAGCCAGCTCAAGACGCAGAGAAGCTCAGAGAAGGGGCTGCTCATGCGGAGGGAAGCAAAAAGCAACAGTTGAAAAGCTAGCAGAGAAATGTCACAGAAGTTTCCCCTCCCGCCTAAGCTATCAGGGTGCATCAGCCATCCCATCTGGCCATTTTTCTTCAAAGTACACCCCAGCTCTGAGCATTAGCCCCAAAAATTAAGAGCCTTTGTGACATAATTAGTGATAAGTGGCCTTAGGGTGGTGGGCTGTGGGAGGAAGTGGATCTGACACCCGGCCTGCCCTCGTTCCCCATCAGACACGCGACTCAGGTTACATTTCCCACAGGAAGGTAAACGTCTCAGTTACTTTTCTTGTTGCTGAAACAAAACACCCACAAATTAAAAGAGGAAAGGCTTGCTTTGGCTGGCAGTTAGTAGAGGGTTCAGTCCATAGTCAGCTGGCTCCAAGGTAGGGTGGCATGGCAGAGGGGCATCAAAGAGGAGACACAGTCCATGGCATGGCAGGCGAGGAGCAGCAGACCCATCTCTCCCTTATACTGTGTTCCATCCCAGCCTCAAACCCACTGACCATTGCCACCCACAACCACTAGCCACACCCAGGACTACACTAAACCATTTTAGTTGTTCACACCTTTAATGCTAGCATCACACACAGTGATCCCACCATCTCCCCAAAGCCCTGCCTCTGAGCACATGAGGCTTTGGGGGGACGTCTAGATACAAGCCATAACAGCACGCCTTTTTCTAATTCACCAAAGATACCCTAACAAAAGCTCTGCTAGGATTCAGTGTCCCACAGGGCTTCAGCTGTCACTTTCAGTGGTCTGGAGAACAGAATCAAAGAGCTGTGTTTCCAGGCTGTGTATAGTCCCAGCTGAGAGGTTATGGGTGCTTCAAAAACCAGGAGAGAATTCCAGCATGAGCTCAGATGATGTTTAGTAAGGATCAATACAATGACACATTTATGCCTAAGTACCAAAAACCAGCACAGATCAGACATCCCAGTCAAGGACAGGCATAGATGTCATCAGGGACCAGAAAATATTAAAACAGTGCTCCACCTCAAAAGCAAGAGATGCCAAAGCCAAGCCACCAGCCTTTCCCTCCGCCCAGCCTTCCATGCCTGCATTCCAGAGCGTTTCCTCCGTAACTCCAGGAAGAGAGATGCTGCCGGGAAAAACAGCAAAAGTCATGATTAAGTCACATAGAACGTGGTGGTGGTGTCTGTCACCTGTAATCCCAGCTACTCAGCAGGACGAGGCAGGAGGACCCTAACCTCAAACTGACCAGCACGGACTATTTAATGAGACCTTGTCTCAAAATAAAATTAAAAACGGCTGAGGACGTAGCTCAGTGGTAGAGCCCTGGCCCAAAATGTGCAAGCTCTGGGTTCCATGCACTGTACTACCAAAGCACAAGCAGCAACAAAGCAGATTTTTTTTTATTAGGTGTTTCATCACATATTTATTTTAAATAAATAGGCCCTGCTTATGCACTAGCGTACTTAATTTGATTTTTATAATTACATTTATCAAAACTTTCGATTAATTTACACCCAATTTGTACTGGCCGAGCTATTTAATTGTAAGCATAAAAGGAAATCTATTGTGTTGTATAACTTGGCAGTGTAATACTACTGGCTCCAAATGTTCCTAGCCCTCTCTCCCTCCTCTCCTCTCTCTTTCTATCTTAGTTCTGCTTTGCTAAGTTGCCTGATGCCTCTCTGCCCATCTAGTGGCCCTGCGGGCTGCAAGCATGCCCCGTCTGTAGAATTCATGATTCTACTAAAAGTCATCTTTCCCAGCAACACTGGCAAAAGCTCCTGGAGGCTGAAAACAGGCCACCACCCTCAACCCCTCCCTCCAGGGGTGAACCCCTCTGATGCACTGGCCTAGACCATGTCCCCACTTCCTGGTGGGTACCTCTCCCCTCTGCACCACATCCATAGAACAAGACTTACGAGGCATCAGGGGGTCTCTTTCTCCAGAGAGCCAGGCTTGGCACACACAAATCACACGCACTACAGAGCTTCTTGGAATAAGAGGTGTCCCAAAGAAATGGAGAGAAGCTCCCATCAGAAGAGACAGCCAACTTATGCATGGCGGGGAGCTATGAATGGGAATTTGAAAACCAGCTCCAGATACAGCTGCTTCCGTTATAATGGAATAAATGCAAAATGCCGATTGCAAGATGCAGGGATTATAGGCAAATGAAGGCTGGAAGCCCTCTCCAAACCCAGCTCGAACCCTGACCAAAACCACCTCCTATCCTAAGCGTGGTAATGACATAAGGAGACATTATTAGATTCCTAACATGTGGGAAACACCACCAAAAATGTCTGATTGCTTCCAAAACCCGAGGGGCTGTAAGAGGGATAAGGAAGGATTGAGGCCGCTGATTCCTGGAGAGGTGAGCAGCAGCAGAAAGGTGGGGCGGACAGGCATAATCCATGTCTCTTAAGAGCAGAGCACAGCCGCCTGGGTCGGGGAGAAGGGACCCGGTCAGGGTCACGGGTTTCTGTGCTCGGCAGCATCCATTTGTTCTGCGTTCGGCTGCTTTTCCCTAGTGATACAAAACTTTTAACTGACTCGAAAAATGAATGCACTTTTTTGTAGCCAAGGCTGGCCTTGAAGCAATCCCCCTGCCTCAGCCTCCCAAGTGCTGGGATTGCAGGCATGGGCCAGTGGCCCTGGAAATCTTGTAGAACAGGCTAGAACAGCTTCTCCCTGACATGTCTTGGTGTCTGGAGATAAAAAGAGCAAAGATGGTTTCTTGAGGTCCCTTCTGTAACGATCTGGGTGTCACTGAAATTACAGTGCGTGGCAGGCAGTCATCAGGGTGACAGCGCATACTAGTCTGACCGATGTCCTCATGAACCTGATTGAATGCTTCGCTGTCAGAGTTTGGAGATCAAACACAAACATGACTGGACACAAGCTGGAGGGCTGTGGAGTACCTCGCTGACAGGAGGTGACCAGGTGGCTGTGGTGCAGAGGAGGAAGCAGCGACTCAGGCAGGCTCAGCAGAGGGATGGCTGCGTCCTAGGAGTCCTGATCCAGTGGTGTCACCTTCACAGCTACACAGCAGCCCAGGACCTGGCCTGGTGCACGGAGGGGAAGGCAGTCACATGACCCCAGCCGGGAGCAGCTGACTACTTTCCCATGCAAGGTGGCCTTTATAGCCAGGAAGTGAAGTCACCTCCCTGTGCAGCCCCAAGACAACGGCAAGTGACAGGCTGATGAGTGGTTCTCTCCAGGCACGAAGGGCATTGAGACAGAGCACTAAGAGGGTCCACAGGTGGGGTCCCTGGGACCCGCGGACCCACAAGGCACCCACTGCCCGCAGGAAGGACATGACTGCACCTGCCCCACCCTCGGCCCGGTCTTTGTCTTCCGACTGCAGAGCTTCATCATGGTTACCAGTGTCGCCCATTTGCTGGCCCTGCTGGCCCTGCACACCGGCCTTCGGGGATGACGCCACGTCCCTTTGTGCAGTGTTCTGGGTCCTAGAAATGATCACTTTTAGTTTGGCCTTTTGATTTCAGTAAGCTGCGCTAGCTCAGGCTTAGGGTGCGTGTGTGGTGATGGTGGGAATCTCTGCAAGACACCGAAGGAAGATTGGGGCCCCCCACGCTAGAGTGGGGCTGTCAGGAGCCAGGGCACCCCCTCTCCCCTTCCCTACTTCAGAGCCTTTCTGAGTCAGTCTCTCTCTCTGTCTCTCTCTCTCTGTCTCTCCCTGTCTCTCTGTCTCTCTCTCTGTCTCTCTTTCTCTCTCTGTCTCTCTGTCTCTCTCTGTCTCTCTCTGTCTCTCTCTCTCTCTCTCTCTCTCTCTCTCTCTCTCTCTCTCTCTCCCTCTCTCTCTCTCTCTCTCTCTTTCTCTTTCTCTCTCTCCCTGACTCTGCCCATCATGCTGGCCATGGACGCTACTGTCATGGCTTTGGTCTGCCTTGGCCTTAGCTGTACCTAAAAGTCTTTTATTATTCAGTCCCGAAGCAAATGAGCTAATTATTTGGGTGTTTTTGTTTCTGTTTTCCTAAACTCAAAGTCTAAGAAAGAAGTTGGCAGGCTGGATTGCCGGTTTCTAGGAGAGTGGCTCCTGGCAGGCCTAAGAATCTCTGGTTGGAACCTGAGCCCTGGTTCAGCGGTGTCAGAGAGGAAAGGAAGTTTTACATAACAGAACGTGGCCTCCAAGGCGGCCAAACGTGCAACAAGGGAAGATTTTGCTTTTAAAAGGAGGATGGGTAGGAGAAAGGCTGCCTGTGGGTCCCTCTCAATCTCAGCTCACGGAGAGCTGAGTGGGAGTTTTGCTGGTGAGTCTTACAAGGTGACATGTGTTTCTTGACCCCCAGGTTCTCTGAGAAGCCCCTCACCGACAGTAACCATGACTAATGTGCAAGGTGCTTTATCAGTGACAGTCTTATTATTTTTAGACAGTCAAATCTATTCATTTTGACTTCTGTAACTTCCTGCATTGCTTTGTAATAATAACCACAGAGTTTCTGTCACCAATTATCCGTTTAATACTCTCCTAAATATTTTTGGCGACATTTTGGTTTAATTATTCCATTTTCACATCCAGCTCATTTAGGATTTACTGTGGAATACAGTATAAGTCGAAGTTCTGAGTTCATCTTGTTCAAATGACCAATTTTCCTGACACCTATTTCAATTTAACGAAATGCCTTAAAATAAAATGCTTTTCCATCCTAGGAGAATCAGCTCAGATTTTTAGGAGGCAGCTGGTACATTCTAATCTCCTTACACTAGTAAGGTGCATCTTTGACATAATTTTCCTTGTAGTATTTCTAAAATGACTTCGCCAGCAGACCTGTTACTTGGGTATCCGAAGTGCCCCACAGAAAAAAATGTCAACACTATGCAAACCAGGCAGCCTGTGGGCACCAAGGGGCCCGGGCATCCTTGTAGGTCAGTGATCTTCCTGGGGTCAGCGCTCCCTCAGGGGAAAGGGACTGACTTTAAATACATAGCACCAGAGAGGTTCAGTGCCCTGATCTGCCCAGCAAGATTACTAGGAACGGGCTGTGTCATCTCCGCAGAGGCAAAACTCATTTCACTGTGTCCAGCGGATCGCTGGGTAGATGTGGGCAGGGCTCTGCCAGGGATGGTAACAGGGAATCCCGTGAACAGCAGAGGGTGTGCTGTGTCTGTCACCACCCACCCTAAAACCCCTGCTGAGACACCTGTAAAACCCACCAATAGCTTCCAGCACATGCGGGCATCAATGTCTCTCCTCCCGCAGCAGCCACTCCACTTCAGGTAGCAACAGGGTCACAGGGCCAGGCCTGCTCTCTATTTTAGGGTCTACACCACATCTTATTTAAGCCAGCACAAAAACATGCATGCTGCTCAGTCCTTCCCTCCCAGCAGGCGCCCGTCTGTCATTGGACAGCACGTGAAAGCAGAGGTGTCCTGGCTCAGAGCTGACTAAACAGGCATCCCTGGGGCGGAAACCCAGGCTGCAGCTTACGTGGGGAAACAGCCAGGAGTGCCTGTGGGGACCTGCCAAGGGCAGAGTCAACGTTCTGACAGAGCTGAGATTATCCAAAAGGACCAGGAGTAAACAGGGAGCCATGAGCAGCCATTGTGGGTCTAAGCACAGACCTCAGCGCAGCAAGGGCAGCGCGGTCAGTCCCCACCGTGACGGGCACTGCAGACTGGTAGAGGTACGTCACCATGCCCTCTCACAGGTGGAGAGGCTGAGGTTGGGGAGGTTGGTGAACATGCCCAGGAATGCACGGCTAGGAAGGGGGACCCCCTACTGCAGCCCCATTTCTGCTGGATGCCAGTGTCTTAGGCAGATGCAGGGAAACTCATAACCCACCTACCAAGGAGGTGTTGGAGCACTAAAGAAGGAAAGGGCACCAGTGAAGGAGGAATCTGCCCCATCTTTACTCCCAGGAAGATTATACAGAAGGAGGCAGAGAGCTCCGTAGGACGTGGAAAAGGACTAAGCCAGTGGAGGAACCGCGGGCCTCTGATCGAGAGTTTAGAAGGTGCTGGGTCCCTGGTCGGGGGAGTCATTTTTGTCCTTTTTAATCTTACAAGTAATGCTTGGGTGCACTTTACCATGGTTTAGATAATACATTGGACAGCCTGAACCCATGCACACCACATCTTGTCCCATGCCTCCATGCCTATGGCAAAATTTCATTTATAAATAGGCACAGGAAGAGAGCCACAACAGTAACAAATACTAAAATGAAACTATTTTAATAATACGCCAGGACTGATAGACATATACAGTGAATATTTAAATTTTTTTAAATTTATTTCCGTGAAAGACCTATTGCTGTTAATCCCTCTTAAAATAGCCTTCAAACACATTTTTCCCATCATTCTTGCTACTCTCTGAAAAGTTTGTGAGATGCGATGCAAAGCGCAGTGGACACCGCTGCCCAGTGCCACCCAACAGGAAGGCAGGCTCTGGAAACATGAGGTGGGTCCTCCTCCGTGACCTCAGCCCAGGCAGGAGGGGCAGAGCAGCAGGAAGCCCCATCACGGTTGTCAGAAGACACAATGCAACGTTTATGGCTTGTTCACTTCTAGGAATTCCCACTTAAGACTCTCACACTGCAGCTAACCACAGATATCTGCAACCCCAGCGAACAAAGCCAAAGGCAGGCAGACCGTTGTACCAAATCAAAATGTGACAGTCCCTCTTCTGCTCCTCCTCCAGAACCAGCTGTGTCACCTCTCTAAAGAAGCAGGGCCATTTTCAACAAGTTCATCCTCTTCTGTGGATGGATACATGATGGATAGATAGATAGATAGATAGATAGATAGATAGATATTTATGAGAATTTCTTATTTCATTGTCTAAATGAGAACATACATCTGCTATTCTATACCTAGCTTTTTATCAACTAAGAGTCTACTGTTTTGTTGGTGACCATTTTTGATGGTGACTAAACTGTGATGAAAGTCTAAGTTACTTTGTCATTGCTGGGAGAAAATACTGAATATCCACAAGGTAAAGGAGGAAAGGTTTATTCCGGCTCAGCTCGTAGAAGTCTTATAGTCAACTGCGCTGAAGGCAGGGTGGCCTGACAGACGAGAAGCAGCCCATGGCAGGGTGGGCAGGAAGGCTGCTTCCTCCTCTTTCCCTTCCCAATCCACCCAGGCTACAGATCTATTGACTGGGGCCACCCACACCCAGAACTGTGCAAACCCCAACTGTGGACTTACCCAGTAGCACACAGCCATGACCGGTCACTCCCAGCAGCCCTGCTGATGGGTGCTTGAGGCACTGGAGAGACATCCAGACATAAGCTATAACACCTATTAAACTCCTCCTTTTTCTAATTTTTCTCTGTCACAAATGAGGCATGCATTTTTGTGTTCAAATGTGAGTGTTTCTTTGGGCCAGATACCGAGAAGCAGAACGGAATTGAACAGTAGTGTGTGGGTTTAATTTTGCTGATCCCTCCCCAGGTGTCTGCCCACAGGGCTTCAGTAATTTATGCTCCCTTCGGCATGTGACAGTGCCCGTTTCTCCATATCCTCCCTTGCATGTGCTAATATCAGCCATTTTCATTTTTGCCAGTTGGAGAACAAAAATATGGTATTTCGTGATTGTTTTAATTTGCACTTCTCTAACAGCTGGTGAGACTGAGTGCTTTTTTTCACATGTGTGTCTCATATTCTTTGCCAATTGGTTAGTTGGAATTTCTCTTTTTGATTTGTAGTTGTGTGTGTCCTTGGATATTGAGCCTTTGCCTATGGGGGATGTAGCAGGTGTTTCTTGCAGTCTGTCTCTTCCTTTAATTTTCTCTTAAGGTGTCTGGAAGAATCCTAGAGCAGTCGCTTTTCTCTGTTTTTCAAAAGACACCTCGCATAAATGGCTCATCTTTATTCGAAGGTGGTCTGAATTTGTAATTATTGAACCTTCTTCATTACAATACAACTCCAAGGAAAATAACCAAAGTAACTTTAGTGACACTGCACCGACTGTCACTAAAACACAACGGTTATAAGTGGAGGTCGTGAGCCCTGTTCACTCACTTACTGGCCAATAGCTATCATGAATACATGCCTCTGCTACAAATTAAGCCTTTTGCCAGACCACAGTTGGAAGATTTTACTGCTGAAGATGTAAATTTTATAATGAGGTAAACAATGATTCTATGAATCTTTATTGAAGACATCGTTAATGATGCTTGAATATTTTAAAAATTTAATTGTTCTGCAAAACAACTTATTAACACATGTGGAGATGATGCAAAAGTCCAGAAAACCTCCTAATAAACTGCCAGCGGCACATAGCGACTCAGTGGCAGACACTAGGGTCCCTTTTGTTGGAAGGCAAAAAAAAAAAAAAACTAAGGAATGATTATTTAGATGTGGATAATGTACCAAATAAACTTAATACAGACAGTCATCAAAGAGACGTTTACTAACTGCCTGCACCCGCAGCGGAAAGCACGGCCAGCTCCTGCTGGAAGGTTGGGAAATGACGCGTTCCCTGAAGTAAGAATAGAATGCATAAAGGGAAGCGTTGTCAAGGGTTCCGGTCACCTCGTCGCATGAGGTAACAAGAACAAAGCTTTACTGAAGGAAGGGACGTCACGCCCGGTGGAAGGACTCCAGCCCCCGCCCACAGGACAGCTCAGCTGAAGAAAGCCCTGGGCCGTGAGCCACTCTCTTGGCAGGACTGACCCTCCCTGGGCCATCTGCCACAAGCCAGTGATAACGTGGCCGGTCATGACGGGGACCCCTTCCGGGAAGTGTGGCATGCGGGGGTCTCAGCATTGTGCAAACATCGTAGCAAACACTGGACGCAAACTAGGAGAGCCATGGAGTCACCAGGCCGCGTACTCTTACAGGTCCACGGTGGGACGTGCAGTGCCTCACTGAGCCACACACGTAACTACACCTCGGTGGTGCTGTCAGTGGGAAGGCCGTAGAGGAGGGACTTCAGGGTCAGGTTAGACCCAAAGCGTTATCAAACAACGAAGTTCAACCGCTAAAGAGTCCACGAACAGTGGCTCCAGAGGAGGGAACACCATTGACTGGTGGTGAGGAGAACAGCAGCTTCGGCCACAGTCTACTGGCTAGAAATTGATTGCTTACAAAGTACAATTCTGGGGATCGAACAGTGGGAAGACGAGTATCCCCAAGCCAGGCAAGTCTGTCTCCTGCTCGCCCAGCTTAGAAACCTCTGAGGCCTACACAGCACCAGACAAAAGTGATCCTCTCTTTAGTGTGGCGTTCCAGACCTGAGGGTCGTCTTAGTCCCTCTCCACACAATAGGATTTTACTAGGGTCCCCACAGCCTGTGGTGCCTGCCCCACACTTCCTACGCTGCTGCAGGGTTTACTCAGGCACAGAACAATCAGTACACCAGGCCAAAGCCCGGGCCTGAGGAAGATGCCCGGTTTGCACTGTACTAGAATGAGACCTTGAAAACGGTGTATAAGCCGGCTTTCCCGTTGCTAGGACAAAATATCTGACCCCTGGAGCTTAAAGGAGGAGAAGTTTATTCCAGCTCACAGTTCCAGAGGTTTCAGTCATGGTCAGCTGTTCCCAAGTAGGAACAGCATGGCAGATGCTGTCCACTTCAGGGCATCTGGGAAGGAGAGGAGCCCCAGAGAGAAGGGTCCACAAACCAGAGATGTCTCCAAGGGCCCACCTCCACGGCCCACCCAGCACGCCCAGCAGTGTGTTTTGCAAATCCCCTGGGCACTTCTCAGGTCAGTCAAATTGACAGTGAAGATTAACCATCGTGAATAGCTGGAACCCTTCCTGCCCTCTGTTGATGTCCACCTCTACTGACCTCGGTCAGAGGAATAGGTGGCCTCATAGTGACATCGTATCACTGTGCCAAGTGGAGGCTGATATCCCCCAACAAACAGTGGGAGCTGTTTATGTTATAGCTCCAATTCCAGGGTGTCCATCCACAAGGGAAACTGAGACACCGAGATAGAGAGAGACCTCAGCATGTAACGGGTGAGCTTGAGTTTAGGCACTCTGGTTTCTATTAAAATACGGTCAGGGCAAAGTTAGGGGCTGCTACAGCCACCACCATCTGCCAAACTGAAAACCAAACCAGACCCCCCAAACAGCAGCCAGGCCTCTAAGAAACCAGGCAGCAGCCCCTCAAGAATATTTCATTTCCTCTGCTCCTCTCTTTGCCAGCTGAGGTGCCAAAGAATCAGCTCTGTTTTTAAGAGACCATATTAACTGCGGGTGGCAATGATATTTTTCAGACAAGGAAGATAAAGAACAAGAAAGGAAGGACAGGGCTTGCCATGTATGCACATGAGCACAAGGTCACACACAAGTGCGTTCCACGCCCATGGAGAATACGCGCAGACCACCCAAGGGATGTGCACGGGGCAGCTGGTGCAGGGGGACTGGCAGCCAGGGATGCTGGGGCAGTGTATGCACTCCCCCTCCCCCTCCTTCAGCCCTCCTCCTCCCATCAGAGTGAGGGCCAGGGGCGTCTCCTCCTCTGCCCCCAGCCCCAGCGGGATGATCTCTCGCCCACGGCAGTCACCGGCTTGCTTTCGCCCCTTTACTGACTGCCTTCCCTCCAGGCTCCACTTCCCCCACGATCACCTCTGTCCTCAGGGAGCATCTCCCAGACAAACTCCCCGCGCCTGCTACTTGGGGAGAAGCCACACTACAACAGAGGGTGGGCAGATTCTGTGCCCCGAGAGACAATGCAGACGTGCGGGCAGCACAACAACCCGAGCTCCAGACAGTGCGGCTGAACCAGAGAGACTTAGTGTGCTGGGAAACTGCAGGGAGGGCTCCAGCCCCCTGACAGCTTCCCAGAAGCCACCAACCTCCACAAAGTGTCACTCCATTAAGATCTGGAGTAGAGGCTGGGCGTGGGGGCATACACCTGTGATCCCAGCATTTGGGAGGCTGAGGCAGGAGGATCGCCATGAGTTCAAGGCTACACAGTGAACTCAAGGCCAACCTGAACTACACACCAAACCCTGTCCCAAAAACAGAAAAAGAGAGGGAGAGAGAATCAGGGTTGTTCTGCCCACCACCTACCTAATTCTTTTCTCACTGTGCATGCAAGGCCTCGGGTCACCTTCCTGCCACCCCTCATATTATTACCATAGCTGGTGATTTCCTAAGAGCCAGGTTGAAAAAAAAAACTCCCCTAAACACCCCCACGTTGCTACAATAACAACCCGCAAAGGATTGTTGACATTAGTCTGCTGACATGTAATCAATCCATGGAAAACAGATTCCTGCAATTTCTGCGGTACAGAAAATCATTACATCAAGCGGGTTGTCTCCAGCAGATGATGTCAGGGGCCCAGAGCGAGGTTCTCCAGAAATGACAGGTCACGCATGCCACGTCTGCTTGACACCTTGACCTTGAAGAAAGAAGTCACAAACGCTCATCGCCGTGGAGAAGCCTGCCTGCTGCCCACCGTGGTCAGCTCGGAATCCTCTTCTGTGTCCAGGCTTCTCCCCCACCCCAGCCTGCTCCCCTCTCCTCACCATGTGCTCCCGACTTCCCGAACAAGAGCTATTTCGGGCTGAGGCCCTTTGGGATAAAGAGCGATCCTCGGATTCCTCTGCTAATTCCTTGGCCACTACCTTGCCCTCCCGATACTGACCAAATCAGGATCAGGTGTGTTTGCTTTGGACCCCATGAGGCCTGGCCAGCATGGCCAGTGCGGAGCTGTCTGCAAAATATTAGCTTTTGATATTTTTTAAGAAGGATAAAAAAAGAATTAAGCAGATTTCATTTCTTTAGCATTTTGCGAGCTAGGGTTGGCATCCGTCGGGAACATAACCGTCAGTCCCTCGGTGTCCTTTTCCAGTTTGCATGGCCTTCTCGCCTCTCACCCACCCTTCAGTGCCACCCCTTCTTCTTGGAGGGGTGACAGCAGTAAAGGAAATTTCTCCCAATGAGTCCCACGTGTCCCAGGCCCGTGACAGCCAAACAGAGCTGTCACTCCTTTCTATTCTTGGATTATTGTGAGCAAATTCCCGCTGCAAATTAATCCACGCCTCTCCAAACAAGCCCCTGTCCTGCCCCTGAAGGGATGGAGAGCCCACTGCTTGCAAGCCCTCTGCCTTCCTCACCTTCCTGCCTGCCTCAGAGGTGACATCTGCTGGGGACACTGTGCTCCCAGGTGCTGTTACTGGTGGCTACTGCCAGCCTTAGGGACCCAGTACCCCAGGTTACCACGTCTGACTCCCTGGAAGCCCAGGGTGCTGGAAATCCTCCTGCAAACACAGCTGAAGCTGCCTCTGGAAGTGGGGCTCTTGGGGGGCTCCAGGTTCTGGCTCCTCTCCTGGGGCCCAGGTGCCCTCTACCAGGCAGACTTCAGGCTGCAGCCGGCTGTGATAGTGTCTGGATGCAGAGCCCTCACAAGAGAGCTCAGAGCAGTTGATTGCAAATCCAGACGGCTCCAGCCGAAATGACACGAGCAGGCCCATAATCAAAGAGGCGCTGCCCTCCATGGACAGCAACATGGCCCACGCGTCCTGGAAATGGGCGTTTGCACCTGAACGTGCTGTTGGCCTGTTGAGACGAGGTGTCTCTTGTCGCAGGATCAGCCCAGCTCTGAAATACTAGCACTGCCTTTCCAATCGCCCTGATCACTACTCCATACCTGCTTAAGGATTTCTGTCCACGGCAAGGTGAAGACAGAGTTAGGTCCGCACGCCCACCCAGCAGTGAGTGCTCCCGAGGTGCCGGAGCGGTTCTCCAGCAAGAACGCTCACCCGCACCATCTGCACTAGGTTGGAGGGGCCAACAGACCTCAGCTGCTCAGGTTAGGCCTTGGGGCTGGAGACCCAGGGGACCCCAGAGCTCTTCTCTTTTCTCCAGCCTTTCACCTGATTGGATGAGGTCCACCCACACCAGAGAGGGAACCCGAAGTCTGCAGACTGGACCATCCGGGCACCACAGTCCAGCCACGCTGACCTGTAAAATTAACCATCGAAACACTGGAGCATGAACCCTGCTGTTCAGGCTGAGGACAACCGTCATGTGTGTTTAACAGGAAATCTTATCTAGCTGGGTGAGCACGGAGCTCGGCTGAAGAAACACTCAGGCTGCTTCTGAACACCGAACGCTGAGCGGAACCCCTAGGCGTTGTCTTGAAGGAGTTGCTGTTTCATCCTCTGTTTCATCCTTGGGTTATCTCATTGGCACAGTTTCCTCGATCTCCACCTTACGCCCTACAGACCGAACAGAGTCCATTAAAGTGATCAGATTACTTCAGACAGAGCAATATCCCGACCCTCCCATAGGAGGCGGAGCTACTCCTAATTCTGGAAAATATTCAACTTCTCAAGGTCAAAGAGGTAAAGTTCTGGGCTCCTGGCTCCTGTGCAGCACCTTCCGTGAGTGACAGGAAAGCCACTTCCTCTGCTATGAAGACCACAGACAAGTGGGGTGCCCTGGGACACGCACAGCTTCTCACGCAGAGATACACTGTCCATCCGTCCCCCACCATGGCAGGACTGGGCATCCCCATGGTGGGAAGAGCCACAGTGAAAGATAAATCTCTCCAGAAGGACAAGATTGCATTTGCAAGGAAACGCAGCACAGTCCTAACAAACATCCACATATTCACCAGAACAAAACCCTACAGAACCAGCACGGTCCTGGGGTGCAGCTCGGTGGCAAAGCGCCTTCTTCTGAGGCCCTGGCTTCAATCCCCAGAGCTGCAAAAGCGTAAAAGCAAAAAAAGAACCCCTGTATCATGTAAGTCCTCATCAAGTTGCAAAATGGGTTCTGTGTCTTCCACTTCCACCTCTCTCCTTCTCGGCTATGGAAAGCGTTTTAGGATCTCTCAGCACAAAGCTTGTAAGTTATGGACGCTGTTACACTTTGAGGCAATTCCTTCTGTTTTAATCTCCCCGTGTTCACGGCATCCTGATGCTACGCCTTAGAGGGGTAGACTATGTGCAGATGTGTGTGCCCCCCCCCCGGCCCCTCTGACACGTGCTCCTACACCCTGCTTCCCCTCCTCACCCTCTCGGTGGCCTGAGAAGTGTCCTTGTGAGGCAGTGTGAGCCTCTCCCCCACTGTCATCCTCTGTCTGGAAACCTCCCCACGCACACACCTTCTGGATCTGAAGTCTTTAAGAAACAGAGCCACCGATACTGGAATTTCATGGAGACAGAACTCCAGTTGAGGGGAGGAAGAAAAACAGCAGGATGAGGGAATCATCACAGGCTCTGAACACAGGACCATTACCACCAGCGTTTCAAGCCAGCTTATTAAAACACCATTTTCAGCCAACTACAGGGATCAATCATAGCGGACTGTAGAGAAACACAGGCCCCATTGCTGACAAGCCAATGGGAAACCAGGAAGCTGCACGGGCTTAGCAAGTGTGAACCGCGTTTGCTAGAAGTTGGAACTGGGGTCAGTGACCACCTGAAGGCCATGGCTGCCTTGTGCAGCCCTGATTTGGACAGTTAGGAGGACACGTGACCGTCCCCTCCCCGAGCGGGGCAGCAGAGCGAAGTCTCCAGGCCCGGGAGAACTCGTGCACTTCCTCCGGAAAGATGCTTCCTGGGAGAGAACAGGGAAGCCACGCAGACGCCGGTTTCAGCACAGTCAAGGCCTCCGAAGCAGCCGCAGTGGGTTTGGGACACTGTCGCCGCCGCGGCAGCCGCCACCACCTTCCCTGTGCACCACGATGTGCCCGGCACTGTGCTGGACGCCGCGTTTACATTTGACCTCGTTCCTGCAGCGCAGTGCAAGCTGGGCATCTTCAGTGAGGAAACTGAGGCTCCGAAGGAATATGTAGCCAGGGTCACAGGGTCGTGGTCGTCAGTGTCCGTGACCAGTGCCCACCCACCTACGCCCAAAGCCCACATCCTTCCCACCTCCCGAGGCCCAGGTTCCCCTGGCAGTTTCTCCTGCCACTGCCCCTGCTGTTGAAGGCTGCCCCCAGGGTCACCACCAGGGGCTCCCGAGCTGCACATCTCCCCACCCCGACCCCCAACAACACACTGGGTGGCTGCAAAGACATAGTTCAGGGACTCACACCGGTCAGACAGAGGGAGACGAGGCGCTGGCGCCTGGACGCCACCCCCGTTTCCATTCACTCTGGCCTCGAACTTCCAAACTCCCCTAGGGGTTTCTCCTAACCCCCTACCCCTTGGTGAGGACCAGCACACACACACACACACACACACACACACACACACACACACACACACTAACAAGCCTAAATCAGAATATGTTTCTTCCCAGTAAGTTGTAGATTTTTTGTTTTTGTTTTTGTTTTTTTAAGTGTTAACTGATTTAAAATAATGCATAATTTTACCTTGGAATGAAAGAGTCCCTTATGTGTACCGAAGAGCGACGTTAAACTGGCTCTTTCCATGTTTTGATACCCATCTGTAAAAATGATATACGTGTCAGAGCCAAACAGTGAGGCTCGTGGGTCCATTTCATCCCCGTCAGTGAACCCTGCCCTCTGCCTGGAATGCAGGAGCCGGAGTGTTCTCAGGCACCCCGACAGCATCCCCCACCACCTCCAGGGACACGGGCTTCACAGGGAAGAAGACTGAGGACCTGGGCTCCTCCTCCAGGGCAGGCCTTTCCAGCTGGTTCTCCCCCTTCCGGCTGAGATAAGAACCTCCCAGCTCCAAAGCCACTTCTTTTGAATGGGTTCCAACAGAAGCACCAGCCCCGAGCTCCCTGAGATGGTTAGGATTTAAAAATTCATGCGGCCCTGAGCTGAAAAGTTCCTTCTGCTCACCCACTGACATCTCCACGTTTGCTGGAGCTCTTAACAAACTTACTTCTTGGCCCAGTTCTCTGGATGCGTGCGTGGCATGTGATCATACACTGAACAAGTGACATCAGTCACCCTGAAGCTTAATGAAGCATCTACACTAGCCAAACGCCTGCATTTCAGACAGAGCGTGCTAATCTTGTGTGATTATTAGGATTCCTCGGTAGTCTGGGTGACTATCCCATAGGGAAAGAAACCCACTCTCCCAGACACGGTATAATTTGGTCATTTTTTAGAGATGAGAGGATTCCCCAGAAATGTGAGCATGGCGTTCCATCCCGATGATAAGGAAGCAGCCGTCTTGGAAGCCTGGCTTCCATCTGCCGTCCGTACCCGAGCTGCAGGGCTCACCAATTCCCAGGCACGGCCTCCCCGGATGACAGGGCTGGGGTGACGAGCAGCTCTGGGGAAATCCCGTGGGAGGAAATTGGGAAGCAGCAATGATGTTTTTCTGAAATTATTGATTTTTTTTTTTGTTAGAACGAGCTGCTTTTTTTCCCTCTCTCTGTGAGTTAATTACGTTATCAGATCCGATGTTTAGCATACTAACTGGAAGCAGAAGCTTGAATGCTGGAGAATTGAAATGTCATTTTGGAATGTCATTTTGGCTTAAAAACATTTGCCCATGATGGATGGAAGGGGGAGGAGGTAAAGGGATGAAAAAAAATGGAGGGGAAAAAGAAAACCAGAAACACAATTTTAAAAAATTTAACCCAAACTGGGTGTGGTGGCACTGCCTGTAGTTTCAGCGACTAGGATGGCTGAGGGGGGAAGAGTGGGCCCAGACAACATAGCAAGACCCCCTCTCAAAAAAACAAACAGCTGGGTGTGGTGGCTCATGCCTGTAATTCTAGCACTTGGGAGGCTGAGGCAGGAGGATTGCTTCAAGTCTGAGGCCAGCCTGGGCTACATAGTGAGTGCAAAGCCAGCCTGAATTACTTGGTGAGACCCTGTCTTAAAAAGACCACAAAAAAAAAAAAAAATGCCCAGCATTTGATCCACTCCTGGGCTCCTCTGTGTCCTGCGGCTGGATCTTTCTCTTCTGTGAGCCTGGGAAGAGCCTGCCTTCCTGACCGCCAGAGGGCGGAAGCTTCTCAGAGCCCCTCAGCACCCACCCCAGGCCCACAGAAGTCCCAGGAGGACGCTGCCCTCCTGCTCGCTCTGCTCTCCACCCTCACCCCTTCCCAATCAGGCTAGGGGTGAGTAGCAGAGCTCCGCCTGTGCCCTGATGCTGATGCCGTCCCAGGGCCCAGTGAGGGATGACCCCGCAGGTGTGGCAGGTGCCCACGCTTGGCTTCCAGTGTGCAGTGCTGACATCACAATCTCCTCCCAAGGAGACGGTAGAAATAGAATTTCTCTCTATTAATACCTTCAAATGCATACAGCATGAGTCATACACACGCAGAGGTACAGTGTCCTCTTGGGTCTCTGTGGCTCCCTCCTCTCCCACCCCACCATCTCCTGCCCCATCCCCACCCTCAGCGCCCTGCGTAAGGTCTCTGGCAGCCTCTGAGTGCATGATATGGGCGTACACACAAGAGGGGCCCACACACTCCTGAATTATGCACACACACATACGCGTGAGGCTCTAGCCAATGTTTGACTGAACGATAGATTATTTATACCCCCATCCAATTCTTTGCTTTTTTCTTCTCTCCTGCTTTCTGTTGAATTATTAAAGCTTTGTATCCCTCCCTGCCACCACCACCCCGCCTCGACCTTTTTTCTAGCCTTCTATTGCATGTCTCTTTATTCTTGCAGAACTGTAACAGTGCCTGCAGACATCCAAACACAGCGGCCTCCCAGCCACATCCAAGGCCACTCTATGCTCCACCTCGTGACGGCTCTGAGTTTTAGTTCACTGGCGCAGGCGCGCACACGGAGGTTTGCATGGCAGTGACTATTCCTATTTTATGTCGCCTGTGGTTTTCTCATCTCCCGTCTTTCTCTGTGCTCAGTTTCCCTCCTGCCCTCCATGACAGCGGCTCGGCACTCTGCAGCGCTTCCCTGTGACCTAATTCAGTCCTCACACACAGACAGGGTTATGGGTTTGTTGGTTTATTTCCGGATGAGGAAACCCAGGCACGCTGCCACCTAGTGCCCGCCCAGCCCTGCAGCAGAGCCTGAGCTGGGTCCTCAGAGAGGGCAGATCTGGTGCCAGGTGTCCTGGGTCCTCAGGTCCCCACCGCGCCCTCCTCTCACCTGCGGGTTTGGTGCTGAGGGCAGTGCAGGGTGACTGTCACCCTCTGATGTCTCCGCCTCCTGACGGTGCCAGCGAGGGCCCGGCTGTCACCACAGCTGCCTGCGGCAGTTCCCTGGGAGCTGTGATCTATGCAGGAGCAGATTTATTTCTGCTTATTCTGCTCCATACTCAGCGTGCCCTTCCGGCTGAGGGGGGCTGTGTTTTCTTCCAGTCCTGGAAAACCCCAGTGAGTCTCTCCCTTTGCTCACTGTCCTGTTCTGTCCTCCTCGGACCCTGCCAGGCGGACAAGGAGCCCCCAGTCCCCTCACTGTGGCTTCCCCTTGCTCGGTCCCATTCCGCCTCTTCAGTTTCTCTGCTGCCCTCCCCAGCTCCACACCGGCTTCCAGCTCGTGCATCCTCTTGAATGTGTCTCTTCTCCGTCTTATTCCCTCCACTGCTTTTTTTGTTTCAGTGACTATTCTTCATTTTAAAATTCCTGGGGCCGGGGATTTAGCTCAGCGGCATAAGTGCCTGCCTTGCAAGTGTGCAGTCGTGAGTTCGATCCCTGGTACAGAAAAAGAGAAAAATGGCATGTCATTTTAAAATTCCTTTACTCTCCGTTCTTATTTTATTTATATCCACTTGTTGTGGGATTTCATATTTCTTTTTAATAAGAAAGACCGCGCCATCATGAATCTCCGCGTCACCACAACGTAGCTGGCAGCTTTGGGAGCACAGCCTGGCACAGGCAGCGTGAAACGCAGCACTCGGGTTAAGCATGCAGGTCTGCTGCCACACAGCGGGGAGATCCTGCCTAGGTTTCTCAGGCTCCTTCTTCAAGGTCATCGGCTCTGTGTGTTAGCGGCAGTGGGGGGCAACTCAGCGGTTCAGTCATCAGGAAATGGAGTAAAATATTGAGATGTACAAAAGCCAGGGGTGGGAGCACACCATGTTATCCCAGCACTCGGGAGGCTGAGGCAGGAGGACTGTTGTGAGTTCAAGACCAGCCTGGGCTACAAAGTGAACTCAAGGTCAGCCTGAACTGCATAGAGACCCTGTCTCAAAAAGACAAAAAAAAAAAATTAGATGTACAAAATATTGGAATGTATGTAATGTTAGGAATTGGGAACTAGATACATGTCCAGAGCAAACTTTAACACGAATTGTAAAAACACGTACGCTAAAAGGATAGACATCTTAGACACTATTAGAATGGTGTATATGTATGTATACATTTATGATTATATAAGTCATATGAACATACGTGCATATATACATGGCACATATTACATGTGTGTATGCATGTGTGGGCGTATCTGTGCTTTGTATACATATGTGCATAGTCACATCCCCATCCCTGGGACAAAATGCCAGAAACCTGCCATTTAAAAGAGGAGAGGTTTATTGGGCTCCCAGTTTCAGTGGGATCAGTCTGTGGTCAGCCAGCTCCACGGCAGAAACAGCATCGTTAAAGGGCCTCACGGAGAACAGCTGTTTCATTCCATGGAGCAGAGACAGAAGGGAGGAGTCGGGGACAGAATTACAGCCTCCAGAACATGGAGCCAGTGATATACTCTCCCCAGTGCACCTCCTAACAGCAGACCCCAATTCCTGTTCAGCTACTGATAAAACATAGTTGATAAATCAACTGATAAGCATAGTACCCCGTGACCCAATCATATGAGATTTTGTGGGGATATTTTAGATCCAAACCATAACATTCTGCCCCGCCTTAACCCCAAAAGGCTCCATCATCTCATTATGCAAAATGCTTTTAGTCATCTGTAAGCATTTACCAAAGTCTTAACATTCCCAGCATTGCTAAAAAGCCCAAGCCTGAAGTCCCCTCTGAGACTCAAGACAAACTCCTCGCTGTGAGCACCTATAAAATCAAGACATAAAGTACTCCAGCGTACAATGGCAAACATTCTTATTTCCAAAGGGGGGAATATGGAGAATAGGAAGGATCTGGACCAAAACCCAACGGGGTAAACACTGAACCCTGTAGTTCCACATTCAGAACCTGGGGCAAAGTGTGGTAAGTGTGAGCTCCACACACAAACGCACAGGAGACGCTTGGCCCAGACGGACTAGGGTAGTGTGCCCTCCATTGAAGACCCCGTCCTCCACATGTCTGTGTCAGTAAATGTTCCCGTCCGCCCTGTCCAGGAACGTGCTTTCACTGTGACTCCTTCACGTTCCAGCTGTGGGCTTGCCTGTCCTTCCTTTTAGCAGACATTTTTTCATCTGTGTTGGCATTTGGGTTAGGGACCCAGTTTCCGCAAAGCGTATCTCATTTCTTCCTCTTTGTGCTCACTCCGCTCTGACTGGCAGCATCTCTAAACCTCCAGTCCAGGCCTACCTCTAAGGAAGACACTATGGGGAGGCTGCTCCATGGGAGTCCTGGGGACACAGCTGATCTTATCACAGCATCAGAGAGGCCACCTGGCTTAGCAACTGGAGGCAGGCAGGGTCCGTGCCTCTCCCCCTCCTTGGGTGACCCCACAGCCCCAAGCAGACCCTGGAGCACCCCTCCCCAGTCCCCTTCTACTCACAGGTTAGTGTGGGGAGAATCCCCCCACCGCAGCTTCCGACCACAGCCTGGCTCTCACCATGTCTGCATGGTGCACTTCGGGTCACCTTCCTGCGTCCAGAACCAAGGAGCCTTGCAGACTCCAGCCTCTGGCCCAACTCACGCTTCTGCGTTGCTGTCCTACTTCCAGACTTCAGAAATCTGTCTCGTGAGCTAAGCCCGCAAAGTCTTCTCGTTATCCTCTTCCTTATTTTACCCACCACTGCTGATAGGAAGAGGTGGTTTCTGCTTCAGTGGATTTTCACATTATACCAATGAGCCTGAATAAAGCCTGATGAAATATATATTAGCAAGCAGAAGATGGATTGTCTGATTTTGAGCTTTCAAAGGACTTATGTACTCCTCTTGGTTGGAAATCCGTCTAAGGATTACACACTTAATTTATTCCAGGCCCTTTATTTTCACAAACAGCCTTTAGGGAACCTAACATTTTGGTTATCACAGATCCTCTGCATTAGTACAAAGAAGCAGACTCCGAAACCAACACTGAATTCAGAACCGCTCACTAGACCGCCCATGTCAAAGAGGAGGCGCGGGCATTTACTTTGAGTTCCCCGGGATCCTAAAGTTGTGCCATTGAATAGGAAACTAGATTTTACCCGGAACCAGAGCCCCTAGCCGTTGCCTAGGAGCCCGGGACCCAAGACGAATACCACTCACAGGCTGGGCCCCACCCGCGTCTGCCAGGCTGCTGTGCCCTGCTGCCGCAGCCATTCTCCCCTCTCCCCCGACACTCCGCTTCTCCTGAAGCAGCTTCAGTGCACCTCTGATACTGCTGTGTTTCCTGGCTGCCTTCCCCACCTCCAAACGTAACCCCTCCCCAGTGACTTGATGTCAGCAGCGTGGCCTGCAGAGCCTGGCACCCTAATAACATGGCACCCTCTCTGCATCTGAAATGCTGCCTTCATGGCTGAAACTTGTACAGCACATCACAGATGCCTCCGCCCAAGGGTCTGGAGACCTGGGAAAGCGGATGCCACTGCAGTTATATTGTGAGTCTCCATTTTTGAGTGATGGTCTTAAGGCTCTGGGGAGTTCAGTAGCCGGCCCAGCTAAGAGGCAGGAGAGCCGGGGTGGTGGATTAAGAGCTGGCAGGCAGCTTCAGCACCAGCTGAACTGGATCAGCGTAGTGCTGAGTGTGGAGGGCCCACCCGAGGACTGGTACCAGCATAAAAAAGAAGATGTGGAGAAAAAGAGAATCGCTCTGTGGGTTCTCCAAAGTGTTGCTGTCTGGAGCCATTGGTTCTCCTGCAAGAGTTTGTTGTGCTGGCTCGCCTGACGTGATTTGGGTGTTATCATCGGAGGAGCTCGGGACCTTGTCACTGAGGGTGGCTGGGGTTTACTTTGGGGGAGCTCTGGTCATTCTGTTGAGCATCACTTCCTGGCTCCAGAGGGGAAGATGTGTGCTGTTTAATCTCCAGGAGGAGGTTGTCAGGCTGGCTTCCTGGTATGAACTCGGCTGTTCTTATTGGGGGAGCTCAGGACCTTGTTGTCGCTGAAAATGGCTGTGGTACTTTTTGGGGGAGCCCTGGTCCTTATTTTGAGTGTCACTTTTTGGCTCCAGTGTAGAACCCTCAACCTACTGGCACAGCTCCTTCACACTGCTGGCACAGACTTTCTAGCTTCCACCGCTGATCTTTGGGCCTTCCCAGAGCAGATCCATGAAACAGATTTGCATGGGTCATTGTTGTGGGCTCTAGACCTCCAGCTGGACTCATGGGGAGCATTGTTGTGGGCTCTAGGTTTCAGCTGGACTCACTCAGGACATTGCTGTGAGATCCAGGCCCTTGGCTGGATTCTCTAGGTCTTAAGTAGTGTGTGGACAGATTTCCTGCACTTTCTCTGTATTTTACTCCTTGCATGACTATTGTAAATAATACTATAAATCACGTGTCCTGTACATAATTGATTTCCTTGCAACCCCTGACTGCCACAGGGGCTGGCATTTGAACTCATCCCTGGCCACCTCTCCGTGTGTCAGTATCTCCTGGTATAACTAACTGCATGGCAACCCCAAGTGGCTGGTTCTAGCTGCCTCGTGCACTATGCTGAAGACTTAAGCTCAGACTCAGCAGAAAAACAACCCAGGTGTTGTGAGTGGAGCTGTTGCAAACGTATCCCCAACGCCCACATGTGACTGGCTTGCTCTTCAGCTGGTGTGGGCAGGTGGGACCTGGTAGGGAGTCCCTAGGTTCTCAGACCAAGTGCTCGGAGGGGTGTGGGACCCCAGCCTCTCTCTGCTTCCTGCTAGGCAGTGTGATGCCTTCCATCCACACCCTCACGCTACTGCAGCCAGGAGGCCCTGGCTAGAAGCTGCACCATGCTGTTTGGCCCCCAAAACTGTGAGCCAGAGGAACCTCTTGTCTTTATGAGTTAGCCTTCCTCAAGTGTTTTGTTATAGTAAACATGCTAACAAGATGGTGGAACAAGGTGGGCCATGGGTCTGGCATTTAAAACAAAGAGCTTGCAGACCCCCTGTTGGCTGATCCTGGTACCGTGCTAATCCCTGAGGCTGGGACGGAGTTTCCCATGGGTTTGTCTCTTCCACAGCACTGAGAACATAGCGCCGAACATATAGTAAATGAGTGGGGTGTGTGTAGTGACACAGACGTCACAGATGTCACGGGGCAGCCTGCAGCAGCAAGCTCTTCTCCAGGACAGACAAGCAGCTCTTGGTGCATGATCTCAGCCTGATACACATGTGGAACAGTGTGGAGTTTAGGGAAATGACTGTGTCCCCAAAACTGATTACCAATGCACGGGTCAGCTTTGCCTCCACCTAAGAATACCTGCAGGCTACATGGTGACAGAGAAGCCATACGCCCCTTGGGTTGGTGGTCACAGCCACACATCCACCCTGGGGTGGTCCTAGGAGACCCCGATGTCCCTGGCTGCCACCTACTCCACCCACAACTGGATCAAAAAGGGGAGAGAAGGTGTTCTCAGCATGCACTGTTGTAAGGTATGGAAGGGAGAAGTACTAATTACAGGCAGAGCCCTGCCTTCCTCCCCCACCCCGTTCCTCTGGCTTTCACTCCCCAACCTGGGCTCCCCGCTTTCCTCCCAGACTGTCTCCTGCCTCAGGCTGGGAGTTCTCTGTTTCCGTTTCATCTCTTTTCCATACCTCTGCAGAGGATGTGTCCAGGAACCCAGGCCAAAACCAGCAAATTTATCACCGCAGTCATGACAGCGAGCTGCATGCTGAGTGGGTTCCGCAGTCCCCCTCACCGCCATCCGCTGCCAAAGCCTGCAGAGCTGCAAGATGCAGCCGATTAGAGCCCGTTATCTCCGCCGAGGAACGGCTCTGCTGGCCATGCAGCCAGGTCTCAGGCACCAGGCTATTTTGGGAAGTTTGTTTGGAGATATCGCACAAAAAAGAAAAAAAGAAAGAAAAAGCCATATGGTGGGAGATGTTAGTTAATTCACCAAAACTAAGCATTCCAACTTCCGCGAATAACTGCCCTTTATCAGCACACAGCCTGATACAGACCTGCCCTCTGCCTCCCACGGGTATCTCACTGTTCCGAGACTGTTTAGGTCCGCAGTTTGCAAGACTCCCAGTCCTGGTGAAATCCTGTCTCTTGCCATTAGCAAGCTAGGGGCAATGGAGAATCCTCAAACCTCTCCTTCAAAAAGGCTTCCCTACGGGGAAAAGTCTTTCCAATAAGACAGGAAAGCCACTGGCTGTGGGTGAGGTCGTGACAGGGAAGCGTGGGGTCAGGCACGGGGTCAGGCGCGGGGTCAGGGAGCCCAGCTGTGCCTCGGGTCACTGCTGCCCCAAGCGTGCTCTGAGGGAGTGGTCACCATCCGGTCACTTCAGCCAGGCAGTTCCCGGGCATGTGCCCGGCCCTTGGGACCCACTGAACAAGCAGGCAGGGCACCAACGCACCCGGCCCTCCCTCCTTAACGACCTCCTGCAGCAGGGTGTCCTCTAGGCCGAGGGCCTGGGAACACCGCTCCTCCTGTCCCCACTGAAGAGGTTACACATACAGATAAAGCTGAGACTTAGGCCTAAGCAACTGTATTACCCTGATTCTAAGTGGGACAGGGTGGGAACTTTGGGGGGCGCTGAAGAGCCATCAGGGAGCTGGAAACCCAGCAGGGCGTTTTGCAAATTCCTTTCAGCCATGCTGGATGCAGACTGGGGTCTCAGCCCTGCACGAGCCTTAGTTCCAGCTGCTCTGCTCCTCCGATGGGGTCACGTGACGTGGCTGGCCCCGGCCGGCGTCCGCTCATGTTGTCTTGGCTCCAGGCTCCCACTGCAGATCACCGAGCCGGCTCCCACCTCCCAGACTCCCCCAAGGCACTCCCTAAGAGCCCCCACTCAGCCCCACTCAGAATTAGGGGCCATGATTGCTTAGGCTTCACCCTGGCTTCATCTCTGTGCAGAATCCTAGGGGGGACACGTGAAAGGCAGGAGCAGTGCCCCCAGACCCTCACCCCAGCCGATGACAGGCCTGGAACATGAGGCCTCCTGGACCCAGAGGGCACCTGTCTAAGGGGATCTGGAGGCCCGAGCAGGCCCAATGGCCAGAAGTCACAGGAGCAGCTCCTTCTAGGGGGCTCCATCTGTGCACAGCCCGGGTGCCCACATGCTCGGAGGAGAGTGTGGAGAAGGGAGTCTGCACTGGGTGGGGAGAAGCCTGTGCTGTCCCTCCTGGTCATAACGTGCTGGCGCCGTGGGCAGCAATAGGATCTCCCACGTTTGCTTCGTAGTCGGCTCTGCTCTGGGACGCTCAGTCCAGCCCTGTCCACCCTGGAGGTAGAGAATGTACTTCCGGGATGTGAGGACATCCAGCTGTGACATCTGTCACCCCGTCCATCCCAGGGATGACTGGCCAATCCGGCTGGCTAGCCAGTGTCCGCTCCGGCCCTCACTGCTCACGTGCGTCCCTGCTAAGACTGTGAGCTCAGTGGAAAGGGATGACCACGACCACCCACTATGGAGCAGGACCACTTCCTGGGGCCGGGGTGCACGTATAGCCACACTCTCCTGCCAGAACCTCCAAACCAGCTCTGCAGAGTATACTTCCGGGAGGAGAGGTCTGCGCACCCCCAGGGGCTGGTCACACCCTCACATGGGACAGGCAAGCAGATAGCACTGATGTCCTCACAGGCCTCTCTGAGTCCCAGCTGTAAGAACTGGGGGCTGTGGTTCACATTTCTCACACTCAAAGGAGCCTGGAGGTGACCGCACCCCAAGCCATGCCAGGCTAGGAAACCATGCCCTGACTGCCCTACACGTGGTCACGCGGCTCCCGCTAGGCACCCTCGGGAAGGGGCCCCTGCCTGCCAGATTGAGGCCTCTTGGACACAATTTAATTTCCTCAGGGCCCAGGGCCACAGTGAGCTGCTGCATCCCCGTACAGGGACCCAAGCTGCCTTCACGGACTTGACCTCTGCCCCAGACCATGACGGAAATAAATCTCTTCTAAGCCAGATGTGGTAATGCACAGCCACAGTCCCCCCACTCAGAAGCCTGATGCAGGAGGACCGCTGCAAATTCAAGGCTGACCTGGCCAGCCTGAACTACATAACAAGCCCCCATCTCAAAAAAAAAAAAAAAAAAAAAAAAATTTGTTCTTTCATCCATCTGGCAATATTTGCTACACAAAGATCAGCAATTAGCTCGTCCCTCTGCTCCCCACCCCAAGGCTTTCCTTCCCCTCTATATACCTTAGGTCACCTCAGATTTTTCTCATATGACATCACTTCAGGTGCCCAGCCTCTGTTTTCCAAATATATCCCATTTTGCTAATGTGTCTCATGAAGGCAGCGCCCCAGTAAACACCACCATGCTCTCCTCACTGCAGAGGCCCGCGAACTGCCCTCTCCCTACACCCACAGCTCTGTCCATCAGCCGGGAGTTACACGGACCTCACAGCAAATGACCAGCCATTGAGATTATTAGCAATGAAAATGATGGTCATTTTGTAGCTACAACAGTGTCAGATAGCTTCGAGGAAGAAGCAGAGCTAACAGTGACCCTGTAAATTACTAAAAGGCCGCATCCTGCCTCCCACTCGTCCATAGCAGCAGAAAAAACTATTTAACAGAGTGGGTCCCGGCTAAGGTGACAAGTGACTGACTTAAGGCCGGAACCCTTGAACTCTGAGATGGCAGAACCCAAAGGTGAACCATGCTGCACGCTGGGCCCCGGGCACGTGACTCCCTCCATCCCTTCTCCTTAGCCAGCCTCATGCGGCCAAGGCAAGCTCCGCAAGCGCAAGGCCCTGAGTTCAACTCCCGGTGTCTCCCCTCAAGCAGGGTCTTTCTCTGCCCTCTGGATGCTCACAGTAATCCCCTCTGTCTTGGGCAGGTCACCTGAAGGACACCATCACGCAGCGGCACGTGCAGCAGGTGGCCCGAGGTGAGTACCAAGCCCAGCTGCAGGAAGAGGGGCAAAGGGACCTGTGGGAGACACATGGCCTGGCCCCAGGGTCCCCTGGGGAGGCCCCGGCAGGTGGAGGAGGGCGCATTGTTGACTTTCAGCAACAGCAACCCTGGCCTGGGACTAAGGCGTCAGATGAGCGTGCCTTTCTAGGCCGGGCTTGGCACACGTTCTCAGGTGACTCAGTGCCCGGTGCCTTTGGGGCCGCCAAGTCTGGCCCCGTACTCCCTGGGCAGGTCATCAGGGGTCGAGTTATCCCTGAGGACTCCCCCAGGCACCCCAGCTCCCTGATGTGAAAAGTGCTGCTCAGTGCCAAGGACCATTTCCTTGGACCTGGCCGGCGTGGCCCAGCATTCAGGCAGGGGGTGTCTCCCTACCCACCCGGCTCTGCCCCATCCGGTTCATTCCCTTAGCCCTGGGGAATGAACGTTCCCTGGTCTGTTGAAGAGAGGCAGCGTGTTCTCCGTCACCAGTCCCCATCTGAATAATCCCTCCACTCGTCTCCCTCCTGGGCCTCTTCAGAGTCAGCGTGGGCCCTGGCACGGCACTGGCAGGAGGAGGGTCCGCGTCTCCTGTGCCTGAAGCAATCAGCGCACGTCAAAGGCAGGCCCTGGGGCTGGAAGGCTGTTGAGAGCATCTGAAACACTATTTATTTTAAAAGCAGGCTGCATCCCAGTTAGAAACCAAGTGTTAACGTCTCCCAGCTGCCATTTGCGGGTTAATTGCCAGGTTGTCTCCCCTGCAGCACCCTGGGAGGTGGGCTGGTGGGCTCTGGGGCCACTAGGGCCCCTGTGTCCCTGGTACACTGTGCAGATGGGGGAGGACCCCTCTGTGCTTTGGAAGGTTTGTTTGTGGAGTGGTCTCCTGCCCCTCTGTCACCCTGCTTCTGGCAGAGGGGCTGGAGTTGGGACAGGGCACCCAGCAAGACCCATGTGGCGTGGCCTTCTGGGACAGCCTGGCTCTGCCACCGGGCTTCAGAGGCAGGAACAGAGAGCGGCCAGGAGTGACCCCGCTTCCGTGTCTTGCCACGCCCGCCTTTCCCCTCTGTGTTCTGTCCCCTGTCTGTGTCCTCTCCTCTCCACTGCCCTCCACTTTAAGTGTCCTCCCTGTCACTCGATCTCTTTCACCCCACCTAGTGTCCCTAAGTCTCCATCTAGGAGGGGTGAAGAAGATGCTGGGGTCCCGGCAGGAGAGGCAGCCACCTGTTTCCATAGAACACATCTCTGTGTACAGCAGCGTGTGCCTGAGGAAATCCATACAGCATCCACCCCACACCCCAGAGGGGCAGGGGAGCAGGGGTGACAGAAGCAGAAGAGGGCAGTGACTTGGTGCCGGGAGCCACTCGCAGGGGTCCCACAGCAGAAGAGCTGACTGAACATTCCGGGAATTTAGGGAGCCTCGGTTAAACACGGTTGTTATGGAAGGTCTAATTACATAAGCTCGTGTGTAAGTTTTATTTTTTTTAAAGAATGGTAACAAATACTCCACATTCACCACTTCCACTTAATTTGCTGCATTTCACTGTTACCCATATGCGGGGAGTTGGCGGCGTCCTCCACAGCTGCAGGGTAGGACGTGGCATGGTACGTGCTGTGCGCCCCTTCCCCAGGCCCAGCGCCGGCACACCCAGAGCTCCCCATCAGCCCCGGTGGGGGAATGCGCACCCCGGAAACGGGCAAAGGTTACAAATCCAGACTTCCGTGTTCAGAGAGTAGCCGTTGGACATTTGCCACTGGCACACAGCACCCCTTTCCACGCTGGTATGGGGTGTATGTGCGTGTGTGTGTGTGTGTGTGTGTGTGTGTGCGTGTGTGTCACAGGGACTTCCCCTTCCTGCCTGAACATCTAGATCGCGGCTCTTTCCCCACTTACCAGCTGCCCGCAGTACCTGAGGACACGGAGCCTGGGTGCTTTTAAAAACCAGCAGACAGGAAAACAAACGAAGACAGGAGTGGGGCCGGAGGAGCAGGAGGGGATCCCTGAGCTCCCCGGGGGTGACAGTCAGCGCCGGGGTCACCCTGTAATAGACCCTGTGTGACCAGTTCAAGGCGCATCTTCCCCAAGCAGAAGGCACCGATGCACCTGGAGGACCAACGCCCACACTGCCCGGGAAATCACAGAACGGTTCTTTGTAACTAGGCGCCAGGAGGAACCAACAGCCACGCTGTGGCGCTGCAGTCACTGTGTTCGTGCTGCTGTGCTGTGCCCACACGGGATCCCGCCGAGGCCATCAACAAACGCTTCCAGACTGTCTTAACCACGGGCCAGGCGGGACTAAAAGCTCTCTGCGTGCATTTTCTTCTCCAGGCTTGCACGTCCCCATGAAGAAGCCACTGTTCTCCTCACTCTGCTGCTAAGCCCGGAGGGTGCAGGAGCCCCGCCTGGCCTTGTTCGGCCTGCATGCAGCCACTGCTCTGCTCTGCCTGGTGTTTGGAGTCCACACGGGGGCCTTGGTGCAGGGTCTGCCCTCAGAGCCTGCAGTCTAACCAGAATGAGAGGACAGACACACACCCAGATAACACCAGCCTCAAATTCCAGACCTCAACAAGCAGCCTCCCGCTTCCCACAGAGCCCAGGCCATTCAAACCCTCCACCATGCCACCTTCCCGGAACCCCTGGCCCGCGCCATGCTCCTCGGGACCCGGGCACTGCCCGGCCCTGGCCCTGTGGGGTGAGGATTCCTTCCCAAGACGCTCCCCACACTGACGCCCCCACCGTGCTCCCCTGGAAAGCCAGGTGCAGCCGGCTTGGTCTCCAGAGCCCCAGTGGCCAGCGCAAGCGATAAATAGGCCAAGTCAATGGGCAAAGGAATGCGTCCCAGGCGGCTCCCGGCTCACTTGTCCCGCACGAGCACAATGAGACCTTTGAACATAAAATAAAGCGAGTCCGTTTAAAAGCAGAAGGAGTAAGTGCTCCTGGACCCCACAGCTGAGCAAATTACAGACACAGGCCATAAATTCGGTTTGCCCTTGTCTAGCCGCAGAGCGAGAGAGCGAGAGAGAGAGACAGAGACAGTGAGACAGAGAGAGAAACAGAGAGAGAGAGACCCCCACAGTTACAGTTTCCAATTTCTGATGGCAGGAAGCATACTAACTAATTTATCTGCAGAAACAGAATTTCTTCCTGCAGGCCAGAATTTATGGTGTGGATCCTTGTATAAAGGACACTGAGCGACACCATGAGTGACGTCTTTTACCTGAAGTTTTATGAAGACACCAGGATGGTGTCCAGCAAGGTGATTCTCATTTCGGCCTTTCTGGAGAGCTGGAGGCCAGGCTTCAAGCAGAGCTCACCGGACGCGGCCAAGAAAAGACGCTGCAGGCCTACTCTCCCATGGTTCATGGAGCAGGACACATACAGTGGGGGAGTCCAGTCCAGCTGGGCGGCCGTGGTCTTGGTCTCCCTCTCTCTCTGCAGTCAGTGACGGGGTCTTGTTCCCTTCACAAGCAAAGCTCTAACAAGCACTTGTTAAAAGTTAAACGGCATCCCACGGCCCATTAGGCGAGGACATGTGGGGAGAGAGGGACAGGTCGTCAGGCTTGGGAGTGGACCACAAGGAGTGGCCCCTGGGGCTCGGACCTTCTCTTAGAGAAGACAGTGTAGTAGCTGGGGCGTGGTTTGGGGATGATCTGTGTGTGCTGTGTGTGGTAGACACACGTGGTGTGTCTGTGGTATGTCTGTGCGCGTATGTGATATATGTCAGGGAGTGAGTGGAGGGAGGTAGAGGGGAGTGGAGGGGGGTGGAGGGGGTGTGTCGGTGAAGAGCAGCTCTGGGGTGCTGGTGGGAGGCAGCTGGGGGACAGGCTCACCCGATGGGCCAAGCCAGCTCTCTGTGAGCCCAGGACCTGAGCTTCACCTCACCAGCAGCTGAGGCAAGAGGATGATTCTGGCACTGCCCAACTGACTGCCCCGGACACAATGTGCAGCGCCCCAGGCCACCTGCACTGGCACCGTGTCCGCCTCCTCCCCTGGGTGCACATACTTCCGGCCTGGGCCAGGAGAGCACTCACCTCCTCCTGGGCCAGACCTGGCACTGGCCCGGAAGCCCACGTGGACCACCCAGCGCACACAGCATGCCGGGCCTCTGGGGTACGTGGGCCCATCCGCTGTTGCGCTCCTGTCAGGGAGGAGGGGACTGTCACCACCCCTGAGGAGCAAGTCGGAAAGCAGCTCTGTATTCCTGCACTGACCCCTGGACCCATCGCCAGCGCAAAAGCCTCCGACCCCAGGGTCCGCTCCTGTGGCTGGGCAGGGGTGACCGATGAATGAGAAGAGGACAACAGCACGCATAGGACCGGCAGCTCCAAGGGCGCCCAGGGTCTCCCCATCACTGCCTCGGGGGCTCCGCCTCTTTGCTAACCTCGGAGCAAAGGCCTCCCCACAAAAACAGCCCCCTAACGGAAACACTGTTACCTCTGTGCCCAGTGGGGTTTGGGGAGACCCAGCTGTGCATTCCCGCCCCTGAAATTGGGCAGTGACCCCAAAATTCTCCAGCAGGGGCCTTATTGAGGGCTGAAAGAGTCCAGAGAGCTGGCCTCTGGGAGCTGGCCTGGGCTTCAGCACTGGGCTCCTGTCTGCGCCTCTGCAGACGGAACTCCTGCAGCGCCCCCTGGTGGCGGCTGCTGCTCTTCACAACTCTCCCCCACTCATTAGGTGAGATCACCCGGAGACAAGACTCTGCAGACAGCTGCAGGCCAGACTGTCACCCACGTCCTCCCCAGACCGTGGGGACCTGCGCCAGACCAGCTCTGTGGGACCCTGGGGCCTGCAGGGCCCTGGAGACCACGATGGGGCGTGCTGGCAGGACCCCTGGAGTTTCGCCCACCTGGTTCAAACCAGAACAGGTTCTGTCTTAGTGCCTCTCGGCTGCCTGTATTCTCTCACCTCTTCCTCCCCACAGACCTGGGGGGTTTAGCCCAGCCTCCTTTCCCCAGAGCCACCTCAGCTCCCCCTGGGCCCCACAGCACTGCGTGGGCCTCTAAATGGTCAGCATTCAATCCCACGTCCCCACACGCACACTACCCAGAGGACAGAGGAGTCCCCAGCTCCAAGCCCAGCCAGTGGCCCCTCATGGGCGCCCACTGACTGAATCTCTGAGCTCTCAGGAGGCATGTTTCTGCCATACAGGTGGGCGGGCAGCTCCAGGGATCTGTAAAATGGGGTGGTTGGAGCCAGTGCCAGCCCAGCATTCCTGAGACGTACCTGACACTCAGATCGCTTGTTGAATGAGCACAAGACCGTCCAACCCTCCCCAACCCCCAAGTGCCACAGTCAGTGTCACTGCTGAGAAGGCAGACATCCTCGGGACGCACAGGCAGCACACCCAATCGCGTGAGGAGACCGACCAATGAGGACCTGAATGGACGAGAGGAGTCCTTGTCCTCTCAGACACGAATGACGGAAGTGTGGACCAGGGCAGAAGCAGCGTCCCCACAGGAATGAGATGCCGTCTCTGGGCTCCAGAAGAGTTCCGGTAGCCATCTGGGGCCTGTGGCGGTGGCCTCTTGAATCCGCTCAGGCCCACAGCTGCCTGTGAACACGGCCTCAGGGACGAGGTGCCCAGCCAGGCTCTCAGGTGCAAGTGCAGGCCAAGGGACAGCAGAGGAATCCACTTGGGTCCTTCCAGACGCCTCAGGAGAGGAGGCTGTGCCAGCCCTGATACCACCTGGAGCAGGAGAGGGGTCCTCACATGGTGCAGCAGGCGGGGCTCACCCATGCCATGCGCCCACAGGACAAAGGTCAACATGGACAGAGCGCTATGAGGATCTAGTGGGACTCCGCAGCGAAGCAGGCAGAGAGGGCTCCAGTCTGCCGCCTGCCGGCTGGGCCCCAAGAGGCCTGCGTGTGGTCCCAGTGCAGACCGGAAGGTCTGAGACTCGGGCAGCCCTGTGGAAGTCCTCATCTGCGAACCGGAAGCGGGCAGGAGCAGAGCCTGCGCCAGCTGCAGAAGCAAGAGCAGATCTGCCCTTCTGCACTGGGCTGTCGGGCGCAGACCCTCAAGGATCTGATGATGATTCCCATCCACAACGGGAGCGGGCGGGTCCTCCCTTCTGCTAATCCACCCTCTGGTTCCTTCCAGAAACATCCTCTGGGAAACACATAGGAATTGCATTTCTCCAGCCGTCAGGGTACCCCGTCAGGCTGACACAAAAATTTAACCATAGCACCTCACAACCAGAAGAGCTCAGCCTGTACCATGACTCCCCTTATGTAGTCCTATGACCTTGACCTGTAACCTTCCTGAACTTCCTTTCCTCACTCATGAAAGGCAGGGGAGGATCTGCGCAGTGGAGCTTGTCTGAGTCTCTGGCTGGATAAGAATGTGACCCGAGACAAAGTCACAGGCAGAGCAGATGCTCAGCCAACACTGTGAGCTCTGGCTCTGGACGGAATAAACCCAGGCGGTGGGCACAGCCCCTCCCCCACGGAGCAGACCCTGGCTCTGGGCAAAGCCAGTGCAATCACCACAGTCCACATCCTGCTAACCTGGACTGCACACCATGGGCATCACTGACAGATCTTCCCTGCAGAAACACCAGTCAGGGGCTGGGGATTTAGCTCAGTGGCACAAGCACCTGCCTGGCAAGTGCAAGGTCATGTGTTCAATCCCCGGTGCCAAAAAGAAGAAGAAAAAAAAGAAACACCAGTCAGGCATGTCACGCCTATAATCCCAACACTGGGAGGCTGAGGCAGGAGGATTGCTGCGAGTTCAAGGCCAGCCTGAACTATATAGCAACTGCTCTCTCAAAGGAGGAAGAGGAAGAAAAGGAAAAGAGGCAAGAAGAGGAGATAAGAGAAGAGGGAAGAGGAGGAAAAGGCAGAAGGAAAGAAAGAGAGGGGAGAGAGATGGCAGAAGGACCATGGAGCCAAGGAAAGGGCTGTCTGTCCCTTGGGACTGGTCTTACCACTCACTAATCCCATTTTTCCATCCTGCAAATACACAGAAGTCACACGTGCTAATCTGCATGAATTAGGCATCCACCCACACATACAGTAGGCCAGATTCTAGCCTCCTCACTGCATCTTCGAGTTTAGAATGCATTTAAAAAATCCCCATTTGTGCTTGGTAAATCTAGGCCCCGGAAAGCCTCTGGTGTTTCCTAGGAACCTTCTGCGCATGCGGCCCGCAGAGCCAGTGGGTTCCCCCTCCCCCACCCTCCTCCAGGGAGCTGGCGAGGAGCGGGGCTGGGGCGATCAGCGCAGGCAAGCGGGCTTCCTCCTGCGCAGGCGCCGCTGATGGCTGCGCTGTGCATGGAGCGTGGAGCGGGGTTTTGCAAGTGTCCATGTCTGTTGGGGAAACCCTGAGAATCTGCTGCAGAAGCCAGGAGTCTGTGAAACCCCCGATGGTGGGGGGACCCCTGAGGGCAGAGCTGCGGGGAGAGGGAGGAAGAGGAAAGGAGCAAGAGACCGGAGCTGTGCAACCCGCGCCTCTGAACACCTACTGGGGATGATCCAGCACTGACCGCTGAGGATGGAGACACACAAACCCTGACCCCAGCCACCCTAGTCATGTAACTGAGTGTCACGGAGCAGTCAAACAAGCAAAACCCAGACAACCCAAAGGCTCCCAACCCGGAGAGCCCGGCTCTGAGGGGGGCTTAGAGGGGGGCTTAGTTGCCCTGAGCGCGGTCCCCTGGTGGGTGGTGCAGGGGGCTCACCAAGCTTTTTAGCTGTTTTTCCCACGTCCCCTTTAAATCCCCTAGGGCCTGTCAGCCCAGCACTCACTCAACAGGCTGAGGCAGGGGGGTCGGCATGAGTTCAAGGCCAGCCTGGTCTACCTGGCCGGACCCAGTCTCAAAAAATATAACTAAATCCATCCCCACGGGGTCAGGTCCTCCTCTACCCAGTTGCAAGCTGGGCAGCCCCATAACCATGTGGGCCCTTCACTGTTACTACAAAAAATCCTTTAGATTATAACTGCAGCCTTAATAACTCAAATTGTACTCAGAGATAAGACTTCTGTCCCTTACTCCAGCTAAAGCCAGCTGTCATGAGGGAAAAATACAGTCACCACTCCCTGAGTTGCCCCTTAGCCTTTAGAGGTCTGGCTTCCCAAGGAGATGGAAGAGGGCAGGAGGAGGTCAGCAGCCCACCTCACCTCGCCTTTGAGCCCTGCTGCAGTGGCAGGTTTGGGGCCCTCTGGACCTGACGGTGCCCACGGCTGACATTTCCCCACTGGGACCCTTTCATGGGTCTCTAGAGGTCTCTGGGACACGCAGGTTACTCAGACAGGCGCTACCACTCTGCGCCTGCGTGGGTCGGGTCAGCAGGGTGCATGCGGTCAGCCGGGGGAGCTCACTTTGGGGGGCCAGGCAGGGGACCCAGCAGGGAGGAGCGCTGAGAGAGGTGTCATGAAGGGCACGGCACCGCAGGGGTGGTAACAGGAAGCACCACCCGGCCATCGGATGGGGGGGCCTCAAGCCATGTGACCTACTCGGGCCCCCACAGAGATGTCCGGGAGCAAAATGTCTGGCTTCCCTTCTCCTTCCCTCTGGGTGCTCCTCATGCTCCTCGAAGGCTGAGCAGAGCAGATGGAGAAGATTGGAAGGCCACGACTCCCCAGGCAGCCTGTAGGGTGGGAGCAGCAGGGAGTGGAGGAAAGGAGAGGAGGGGGCAGGAGAGGGCGGTTCAGAGGTGTGAAGGGTTCGTCATTCAGATAGCCCAGGTTCCTGAGGTCCATGGTCCACGTCCAGAATTCTTACTCCCCACAT